GTTTTGTGTTTTATACTTTATATATCCGGACATACAGGCTGTTTTTTTTCTACCATCATGTACTCATAGGAATATGCTTGAAGAGTTTTGATATCCTGTACACGCAGTCGCTTTGCTTTAGATTTTAAATGACAGAAGTGCCATCATGTCCTCTTCCGTTCCTTCCGTCTGCTGTATGTCGATTTATTTTCAAAGCAGATCTCCACTAACGCCCTGTCCGGACTCTGACATGTGTACAGCACCAGGTGTTGTAGGTTAAGAGTGTAGCACCATGTCCTTTGAACACTTAAAAACACTTATATTTAGGTTTATGTTGATATATATATCAGAGGTTTATGTATAGAGTTTGATACAGCATTGTTTAGTAGCACATTTAATTAATTAAAAAACACTGCAGTATTGCACATACATCTGACAGGTGCTGCATCCAAAGCACCCAGCATCAAGTGCCTTCATGGCATTTGTTTTGGACTTTGAAGCTCCATAAAGGACAATCAAAAGAAAGTGTTCTCAGAAGCTAATGTGTTATTTACTAAGCTAAAGTGCTTTATTCTTTTGTGTTTGGACGCACAGTGCAATTATCACAGACAATGTGTCATTATCTGCCTCCAAATGTTTGTTCTTGACACTTGTTAATGTCTATGTTGGCAAATCCTGCTGCTATGGTTAATCTGAAAGGGTGTCAAACAAGGTCACTGTAATGCTAATCCCTACCAATTGACAGCTTAGAAATGTTCGCTGCTGCAAATAGGAAGCTAAGCAAATCACAGCATTACCCCCCAAAACAATGAATGCACTTCTGTTTGTAGACGCTTGTGCACAAGTCCTACATATTGTTTTATGTTAAAAGCTACAGATGAAAAGATCTATCCTTATTTATTGCCAGATGCTACGCCTTGTGTTAATTTAGTTTTTGTTTAATTATTATGAGAATTACAAATTCCAATAAAATGTTCAAATGAAACTTCTTGTGGATTGTTTGCTTCTTTTGTGGTCTTTCTTTGATCCTTCCTCTGGCAAGTGTGTGTGTGTCTATACTTGTAAATGCTACACAGTGAGGACCAAAAAATGTATTTTAGCAACAGAGTGAGGACATTTTTGCAAAGTGAGGACATTTTAGCCGGTCCTCACTTTTTCAAAGGCCTGTTTGAGGGTTAAGACTTGGTTTTAGTGTGTGTGTGTGTGTGTGTGTGTGTGTGACTGAGACAACCTATCAAATCTAATGAATACATAAATGTGAAATAGCCAGAAGTCATTTCCACTTCCCACTTAAACTCAGCATTTTCATGTTGCAAAACAAAACATGGGCCATCATGTCTACATGTAAGTGTGAATGTGGCCTTTAAGAGATAAGACACAAGGTTAGACGGAACTTTATTAATCCCGAAGGAAATTCTTCAGATAAAATATAACTTTTTAAATCTTGAGGGACCCACTTGTGCCAGAGATTGCTCAAAAATTACAACAACATAAAAATAGAAACAGCAGAGTGATAAATGTAAAGTGCATAAGGAGTACAGCTAACACAAGTGCCTAATAAATTAGATACATTTAGTAAAATAGTTAAACAAATAGAATATAAAGAAATATTAGCAATGATATTTAAAAAATAATAGAAACGGTGATATTGCACATGATGTTGAACAAATAATACTGCACATGTGAATGAAATGTAATACTGCAGATGACACTGAACAAGTAATATTGCACGATATTAAAAAGTAATATTGCACATCATAGTGAACTAGAAATATTGAAAATTTTATTTACAGGTAATGGTGTTTTTTAATAATCAAAAAGTGATACTGCACATGATATTTACAAAATTAGCTAATATTGCACATGATATTGAACAAGTAATACTGCACATATTGAATAGTAATAATACATGTGATACTGAACAAGAAAAATGGCACATGATATAGAAAGACAGAGTCTTTTTACATTGTATGTATTTTTATTTACCAGCATCATTAGTAGAAGTGTTCAGATCACTTTCCTCAATAAAAGATATACCATATATCACATCAGCTTATGAGTAATGATGTACTTTTATAGTATATACAGAAAATACAATTAACGACCACCTCAATTGACCACAGTAGTGTGAAGCTATTTATCACACATTAATGCATAGTAGGTATTTATCTTAAGTACATATTTAATATGGGCCCAGTTGCACGCATAGTGAGTACTTTTTGATAGTTTAAATTATATCAAGTTGAGGTATTGGTAAGATTTCCAACTTTTATTAATTCAATTCAGTTTTATTTATAAAGCCCAATATCACAAATCACAATTTGCCTCAGAGGGCTTTACAGCATACAACATCCCTCTGTCCTTCGACCCTCACAGCGGATAAGGAAAAACTCCCCAAAAGAATATTTTTACAAAGTGGTATTCCTATATTTACACTAATATAAAGGATATGAATACTTTGCTTTACCTCCAGTATTCAGTGTATGAGTCGAGACCACAGCACTTATCTCTGTACCACTGGTATGAATGTTTTCAGGGAAACACCCAGGTGTGACAGTGTGGTGTTGAACATTCCTCCTGCAGATATACCTTCAGCCTGCGCTGTAAAGAAGAATCTGCCATGGTGGATTACTACATGTTCAAATCACAGACAGTGCACAGACTGTGTATAAACTGAACGACTAACTGCTGCCCAGAGTGTCTGATTTATAAATGGATACATATGCCAGATTTATTTATTCTTTCTTACCAACTTTATTTCAGGTCTGAATGAAACGAAGGGTAACAGGAGTGTTTCTGGTGCCCCCTGTGGTGCTGCTGGAGGAGGAAAAGAAATGTGCTTTCATCCACGGGCAGGGTGTGGCATAAAATATTTAATAATATTTAATAATTCCAGCCAATCAGGTGGGAGGTTAACAACTGAAAGCCATTAGGATATATGGAACAATATATTACATCAATTATATGCACAATTGTATTGTGTATTAATAGTGTATTGATTATAGACTTTTTAATATCGAATATCCACTTAAGCAGTGGTGGAATACAACTGTATGTTCTCTGAAGTACTATACTTAAGGACAACGTTGAGGTACCTGTACTTAATCTGAGTGACTATACTTTTAACTTCACTATATTTATTTGATAGCTGCAGATGCTAGTTTCTGTGCTAATATTGAACATGCAGAAATTATGATCAGCCAATAAAATATTATACATTAATATAGATTAAGTCAATATTCAAGTAAATTTTATTTATACAGCCCAATTTTAAAAATCACAATTTGCCTCAAGGGGCTTTGATTAAAACATAAAGAGGTTCAAAGTAGTTTCAGGTCAACCAGCATCATCAGTAAGTGCTACATGTACTTTCACATTAATCCGTCAGTTACAATAACCCAGTTCTATAATTTAAATGGTAAATGGATGGACTGCACTTGTATGGCCCCGTCTTCTGACGACTCAAAGTGCCTTTACACTATGCCATAATCACAGATTCACACACTGGTGGCTGAGGCTATCACACAAGGTGCCACCTGCTACTCAGTAACCATTCACATGCTCTCACACACCGGTGGAACAGCCATCAGGAGCAATTTGGAGTTCAGCATCTTGCCCAAGGATACTTCAACATCCTGACTGGAGCCGGGGATCAAACCACTCATCTTCCCATTGGTGGATGACCTGCTCTACCACAGTCACCCCATGTACTTTGGCACCACATCACTGCCGCTCCACATCAATGCACACACTGGGTGTGTGTGTTTGTATTGAGGGTTTAAGGGATGAAGGGCTCGGAGCAGGCCCTGCTGTGCTCTGAAAAAGTGTAGTGTGAAAAAATATAGTGAAACAAGTAGGCTACTTTTACTTTTGATCCTTGTTGTGAGCAGTTTCATGTAGGAACTAATTTCTTCCTACCTAACACACCTGCCAGCTGTATCACTGCACAGACAGAAGCGTGCATCTACTCATGATGAGAGGCTCATGCTTGTGACAGTGCAAGGTATAAACATCAATGGCGTCCTCCTCGGCTGAGCTGTAACGTTAGCTAGCTCAGTGGTGCTAGGTGAGCTAGCAGTAGATGCATGCTTCCTTCTGCGCAGTGATACAGCTGGCAGGTGTAGTTAGGGAGGAAGAAAATAGTTCCTACATGAAACTGCTCACAGCAAGGTCTGTGGATTATCTTGAGTAACCTGGTCATGATTTCTGGAAAGAGACACTGCTGTTGAGTTTTTTATATTTTCTGGCACTGAGCACCACAAGCTGAGTGCCATCTAGTTCCATTATATTAGAGAAAAGGCAGACGGCTGATATTTCCAACACTCTGCAACTCACACCAAAACAATCTAGACTGATAAATAGCACTACAGGTAAGAGGGAAAATGTATATGTATTTTTAATTTTTGAGTGAGCTGTCATTTAAAGTCTGAATGCATAGCTTTTACGCCTATCTTGGCACCAAGGTAAAAACTTCCTCCATCACAGCACTTGAGTCTGAATTTTATGCAACACTCATCGATGGATGAATGTGTTTTTTTTTCCTCTTTTGAGTGTATTTCAAGTTCCTAAGGTGCTAAGATGGTGATGACAGCTTGTTTAGCTCTACTTGTAGTGGGTATCCCTTCACAGGCCGGCGCAGAGAGAGATCTGAAGTTGGTTGAATCCACCTTGAAGCAGCCCTGAGTGGCTCAGACAGCCTTGTGTTGTTGTATCTCCACACTTTGTGAAGAAGGTAAATTAAGAGAGTGAGTCACTGCTCAGGCAGACACTGTGTACTTTGGCACCACATCACTGCAGCCCCACATCAGCGCGCACACTGGGTGCATGTGTTTGTATTGAGGGTTTAGGGGGATGAAGGGCCCAGAGCAGGCCCTGCTGTGCTCCCTCCTCCTCCTCCTCCTCCCTCCTCCCTCCTCTCTCCTCTGGCCTCAGCAGCACACACAGAGGCACCTGTACGCCTGCGCTAAGCTCTCCCATCCCCCCGCCCATTTCCCTCCATCATCTGTCCCTTAGCTCCCACATCCATTATAGGGCAGGACAGCTAGCATTTGCATTTAGACTGAGAGAGAGGGCGAGAGGTAAGGGAGAGACAGAGGGAGGCGGAGGGAGCATATGACACAAAGGAGAGAAGGAGAGAAGGAGGGAGGAATAGATCAGAGCTGTAGAGGGAGAGGGAGGGAGTGGGAGGCTGCAGATATCGATGGCATTAACAATGGAGCGTTAGGATCCAGGGAGGTGAGCAGCCATACAGCGGCTGGGGGTAAAGATATTTGAGGAGGGGGGCTCAGGGGGAGGAGGAGGAGGAGGCAGGAGGAGGAGGATGGGCCTCGAACACAGACTTGCAATGGCACTGCAAAAATTGGATTAAAGCAGTATGGTAACGTTTCTAATTTAATTTATTGCTGTGCTACTTGTGTCTCATCCTCATGTGTGCGCATCCACGCTTGTTGACATCCATCGGCCGTGTCTCATGTCACAGTGTGTCCTCCTGCCGACTGAAGAAGGCACGGGCATGCCCCTGTCCTCTTGGCTTTCATTTTTATATTTATATATATAAATACCATACATGTCTCTCATCTCCATCCTCATCGCAATCTTCTCGTCCGACCTCCTGCAACTGTGTTTGTGATCCATCACCGGATTCATCCCCGTTAGATTTCAGCATCTGCTCCGTGTTGTGTTTTTTTTTTGTTGCCTTGTTTTCACCCATATAACGCCGGACACTGCACCCCCCTCCTCCTCTGAGCCATCGCTTTAGCTGCTGCATAAGCATCTCACTTTCTGTCTGTGATAAGATCAGGAAATCACTGACACCAGGGACTGCAGTCATCTGTTATTTCCCACCATTACAGTGTGATTGTAACCTACTTTGTGTATTGAAAACACACACACACACACACACATACACACACACACACACACACACACACACACTGCCTGATTTATAATAGCGCGAGGAGCGTGTGCCCATTTCACACTGTCACGCAAATAAAATAGACATAAATCCCGCGTGGAGAAATTAGAGCAGCGCTATGAGATGTTCGGTGTCATGTCTGCCTGCGCTCATGTCTGCAGGCTCTGATTACACTGTTTTGACGTCAGGCAGAGGGTCATTAACAATCCCACCATCTGCCAAGACACACATAGATAGCCTATAATGCACACTGTACCAGGGAATTCCCTCATGGATCAATGAGATCAATCAGGCAGAATGATCCAGAGCATTTAATAATAGATGATCCATCATTTCATCACTATCATAGCTGTCACCTGCTGCTCCATCATGGCTGTAAATATACCAGCATGCTTTTACCGTCTGATGCATTTTAAGAAAGTGTATTAGAGTAACTTGTGTGTGGAGCTGCTGAGTTTCTGAGGCTGTGCAGAGCAGGAAGCAGAAGACTAATTATCTATCATCTAATTAATGCATGATGGCCTTTCTGTGTACTCTCTGATGCCTCCACCAAATCAATTATGGGCATAACAGACTGACTCTCAGTTCAGGAGCCAACGTAGAGGAAATGATCAGCTGATATTTATTTTGATTCAGTTAATTTGCTAATAGTTTCCTCAAACAAACTGTAATTTGATTGCAAGGAGAAGTTATTTTTGTCTGTCAGTTGACTTTATAGGTATTTGTTGATTTTCCAAGTGCATTTACTTTCCAGTCAACATTTGTATGAGGGGCCAGTGTGGGTTGTAAATGGGCTGAAAAGTGGGCCCTGAATGGGATTGTCAACAGGTTCCATGTTGGCCTCATGCTAATTGACCGCATGGGTGGGTTTACCCAAGTGGGCCCCACATGGGTTATGCTTGGGCCACCTAGGTAGCAAGTGGGTATTGGCTCAAAATGGGCGTCTTATATGGGGCCCACTTGGGTAAATCAACCCATGCCCCACATGTGGCCCACGTACAAATGTTGGCTGGGTTGAAGAAAAAAAATGCTCTAATTAAGCCCAAGTGAATATTTGTTTATTACTGGAAACTTAAGTTCTCATATATGTTGACTTGAATGTAGGGCTGTAATCACATATTTAACGTTGAGGGAACTGTTTTCAACCAACAACCCCTGTGATCCAACCCTCTAAGGGGTTCTGGAGAGTCTCCACAGGAGAAATTTTTGGAAACATAACAGCTAAACTGGCCATTTCAACCTGGTCTCACTCTGAAGTTGTCAAAATCTGGCACTTGGGCAGTGACTTGCGGCTTCAGACACTAACAAACAAAGCCGTCCTCTCATGTCGGCATGATACGCAGCCAGTCATCATTATAGTTTAATGGTGCTCAGTAGCATCAGGGGGACATGCGGCGGGACAAGAACAAAACTCAAGGCGACGAAAGTCCAAATGGTGGATGGGTCCAACAAACACGGACTTTCACCTGGGAGAGAGGTGCTCACGTCCTGTAAGATTACCAAGCCAAACCCTGATCTTTTTTCCTAAACACAACCATGCGCGTCAGGAAAAAAATGTCAATTCGCGATTGAATGAAGACAATGCATGTAACAGGCAGAACTTGACACAGCATCCCAGAACTAACACACCCAGGGTACCTTGCACATCGTACCTGGATGTGGAAAGTCAATGACCAAATGTTGATATGTGAGGAGGTCAGATTGAGAATATGTTGACCATTTAGAACATTTTAAACAAAAATCCTAGATCAGGGGTTTAAAGTTTGCTGCCATTTTAGGGAGCCAGCATATGACTAAGGGCTGCACAGGAAGAGTACAAACACAATATAGCCTACATAACATTCATATTACATTCTCATGCAGTGACTGACATTAGTTCACAAACTGGTGGGTCACGGTCCAAAAGTGGGTCGCGGGTCCATTCTGAATGGACCGCAAGTGACTCACGAACATGTCAAGTTCATAAAAAACACCTAATTTCTAAGTACAGTGAACATCTGGCACAGAGCCTTTATTTTGAAGTGCTGTTTCCTGCTGTAGAGTGAGTGAATAACTGACAGCTACTAGCTCCATGACATGGCCAAACACAAGTATGATGGTGAATATTTTAAACTCTGTGGCCCTTCAACAAATGATTAAGGAAAAATTTGGACCCCATGGCTGGACTAGATGGGAACCACTGGTGTAGACAGCAGTCGAGCAGTGGCTTCTGCTGGGGTACGACTATGCCACTTGTACAAACCACATGCAGAACTGCAGTACACCATAACACTAGAACCCGTAGTAATATTTATGGCAATTTGTAATGTTTATTTATGATCATGTTTACATTTGCTCATGATTATTTTGGACAGTGGTGCCTGGTTGCCTTTGGTAACATACAGTGGTGGAAAAAAGTTTTCGGACACCCCGTGCATTTGTGAAATATTGCATTAAGAATCACTCTTAGGTCTTCAAGTGCAATTTCTTTTAGTACAGTCACAGCCAAAATACTAAATAAATCCTGAAAAAGCCATTAAAAACTTAAAATTGATTGGTTCCATAAAAATACATAAGAAATTTTGAGTATTGGGTCATTTTGGTACCAGTGATGAAGGTCGTTCTTTTTATTAAAAGACACAATTTTTGTTGCCAAGCTTCGTGTCTACATAAAGCCAGCACATCTGAAAGTTCTTCAGACACAAAAATGGCTAAAACAAGGAACCTAACGCAGGAAACACGCCTGAAGATAAAGATTCTCAGCCAGGAAGGGTACAGCTGCCGCCAGATAGCCAGGAAGTGCAGATGCAGTCCTTCAGCAATTGGATACACTCTGCAGAAATACAGACGAACCAACAGCTTGGAAGACAAACCAAGATCTGGGCGTCCAAGGGTTTCTTCAGCAAGAAATGACCGCATCCTGATCCGCATGTGCAGGCAAAACCGCCGAATGACATCACAGGAGCTTCAGCAGCAGTGGTCAAACCAGACTGGTGTCCAGTGTTCCACCCGCACTGTACGTGGCCGACTTTTAGATCATGGCTTAAGGTCCTACAAGGCTATCAAGAAGCCCCTGATCAATGAGAGGCAGAGGTTAGCCCAGCGTCGTTGGGCCCAGGCACACAAGAACTGGACAGCCAGGAATTGGAAGAAGATTTTGTGGTCAGATGAGTCCAGTTTCCAGCTTTATCTTCCTCCTACTAATGTGAGGGTACGCAGAAGGCCAGGCGAAGCATTATCTCCAGCATGTACAGTACCTACTGTCAAGCATGGTGGAGGCAGTATCATGGTTTGGGGACGCATGAGTGCTGCTGGTGTTGGTCATCTCACTGTCTGTGATGGCACATTGAACTCTACCAAGTATTGTACCATTCTCGAAACCCACATGCTCCCTTCTGCAAGATACAAGATAATGACCCTTGCCACACATCCAAGGCCAGTAGAACTTTGCTGCAGGAGCACAGTATCCAGGTCTTAGAGTGGCCAGCTCAATCCCTGGACATGAGCCCCATTGAAAATCTGTGGTGGATTATCAAAAGGTCTGTTTCAAAGCATAAACCAAAGAATTAAGAAGAATTAAAAGCAGTAATTCAAGAAGAATGGGACAAGATTACCCCTCAACAGTGTGAAAGGCTCGTGGGGAACATGCCAGCCAGGATTAGAGCTCTACTACGTGCCAATGGCAGGACTACTAAATATTAATTTGATGATGTGATGGTTTATTTATTTTTTGTTCAGTTTTGAACACATTCTCTGTTATTTGTTGACTTTGATACCGACAATGTTGAGAACTGACATATTGAAACTGTCAAGAATTTAGTTTTGTTAGTTTTTCTTGTAAACAATAAACAAAAAAATATAATTTGTATTTGTTTGTATCTGTCTAATGCAGCCACACCTTTTGAAACACAAAAAAGATTTTTCCACAAATATTTCATGATAATATTTGAGATTGTGTAAAATTTTAAGGGTGTCCGAAAACTTTTTTCCACCACTGTAACATTTTTCCTTCAGTATATTGGGAGGGACATTTTGAGCATATTTGCGGATGTGTCCCCGCCAATATATATCATAATTACTGCCTAGATTTAATGTTTGTCTGGCCGTCTGTGCCTGACTAAAAGATTTGCTGGATTACACTGAAACAAATTAATTAAAGTTGTATCAAGTGAACACTTTGTCTGAAGCTTTTCCCTATAATTAGTTCTAGGACATTTCTATGAAATCATTAAGAAGTTACAGAGCCAAAAACTACCACAGCTTATCTTTTGTTGCACTGTCAGATGGATATTTCATTAAAGCTTGAGACGAACTTGTTTTCCCATGTGGAAAAACTTGTTTGTTTTTTTTTTAGAATAAAGGACAAATAATCACAGTCAGGATGGAACAATGAGCCTTTCACTGTGCTTATCAGTCAGAATAATCTTCCTTTGTACACATAGATATCAATACATGTGATGTTCCTTGTACTTGAGGAAGGCCATGTCAACAGTAGCCTATTTCATCTGTAGTAGTTGTAGTGCTCTCTCCAGCCCTGATAACCTCCTCCTGCCCTCTCATCCCCACAGCTGGACAAGAGCGAGGTGGCAACTCTAGGCCTACCCTCCACCACCAGCCATGGAGGCTCTGACAGTAACATCAGTGCGGACGGGGCGGCAGCAGCAGCATCTGGGGTCATGGCCTGCGGAGGCGCAGAGGGTATCGGGGTTGGCGAGCCTCAGCGTACGCGTGCTGCTTTGGAGCATCTGCAGCAGAAGATCCTGAAGGTCACCGAACAGATCCGTGTGGAGCAGGAGGCCCGTGACGATAACGTTGCAGAATACCTGAAGTTGGCCCACAACGCAGACAAACAGCAGGCGTCCAGGATCAAGCAGGTGTTCGAGAAGAAGAACCAGAAGTCAGCACAGACCATCGCACACTTGCACAAGAAACTAGAGCACTATCACAAGAAGCTAAAGGAGATAGAACAGGTAGGTGAGAGTGTGAGAACATGTGATCTATTTATGTGCATCTGTTTTTGTGCTCTGGCTGTTGTGAATAATTATCTGGTGGCTGACTCGAAAGAGTGTTGAACTTTGTGAGGACAGTTGTGTCCAAATATAGACTGATGATTCTCATCTCCTAAACCAATGCATCATCCTGTGTCTCACCTAATTCTCTACAGGGCCTGCTTTCCTCATCTATCTTCCTACAGTTCTCTCCCTTAACCTAATCTCTCCTACCTTTGAGATCCTCCACTTCTCTGCTTCCTCATTTCTCTTCCCTCTCTACAGAATGGACCGGCCCGGCAGCCTAAGGATGTCCTGCGGGACATGCAGCAGGGATTAAAGGACGTTGGGGCCAACGTTCGTGCTGGGATAAGTGGTTTCGGAGGTGGAGTAGTTGAAGGAGTCAAAGGCGGAGTATCTGCCCTCACTCACACAGCTGTGGTCTCCAAGCCAAGAGAGTTTGCCAGTCTTATCAGGAACAAATTTGGCAGCGCAGATAACATTGCTCATCTAAAAGACTCACTCGAGGACGGAGTCGGGGGCCATTCTGAGGACACCCCGACACCTCGTGCACTGAGTGGAAGTGCCACTCTAGTATCCAGCCCAAAGTACGGCAGCGACGACGAGTGCTCCAGCGCCACGTCGGGCTCCGGAGCAGGCAGTAATTCTGGTGGGGCGGGTGGAGGAGGGGGACTGTTAGGACCAACCATGGGGAGCCCCAGACTGGATGGGCACCATCACCACCACCATCACATGCACAGCTCCTGGGACTCTCTACTTGAGGGCCTGCAGGAGATCAAAGCCAGCCAGGCGCACATGGAGGATGCCATCGAGGACATGAAGGGCCAGCTGCAGAGTGACTACTCCTACATGACACAGTGCCTGCAAGAAGAGAGATACAGGTACACGTCACAAAAAAGTCATACTTATGAACTGGTGTATTCAGTGCAGTCTTCACAGTGTAGTTCACATGATGGATTAAGAAATTATATTTTTTTGTTAATGTCAACAAATCCAAATCCCATGAGAAGACTGAAATCAGCAGCACATCTCTCTGTACATCCATACTCTGTCTGTGGCTTTTAGCCCGAAGCCCATTCGTTCCTACTAAAGATATGAATCTTTAGGCTTTGGATACTCGACACTGGGACATTAGTTTGAGCGTTCTTGTGTGTGTGCGTGTGTGTGTTTTGTACTGTATATTCAGGTATGAACGACTTGAAGAACAGCTGAATGACCTAACAGAGCTGCACCAGAATGAGATGACTAACCTTAAACAGGAACTCGCCAGCATGGAGGAAAAAGTTGCCTACCAGTCCTACGAGAGAGCAAGAGACATTCAGGTAAAAGTCTGCCACATTATCATAGATATTTAAACATCTTAAGACGTGGCTGTTAATCTTTAGTGTTTTTCTATAATATAAAATATCCTTATTTGCTCTTAAAGAAGCTGTATCCAACATTCAGAGCAAATCTATAATTCAGAGTCAGGGGTTCTTAATATGGAGGGGGCTTAGTCAGCAGTTGGAGCCATATGTTTGATTTGTGTTAAATGTACTATCCTGCCACACCACTAGGTGGATTATGTCACTGGCTGAGGCTGGCCATGGTGTATTTAAATCCATGCCAGCACAATCAAGCACAGGTGCTGTTGATTAAGGGAAGCAAACAGTTTTTGACTGCGCTTGGATTAAGATTTATATTGCTGTACCTATTTGAACTTTGTGTTCAAACCTATTGGGAATTATACGGACATTATGGACGCTGGTGAGAAAATAAATGTATGATGATATAAAACATTGGTAAAGACTGTGAGTATGTACACATCCAACTAATCTAGCAATTAACAACCAGCTATACCCTATACTTTAACCAGCAGCTAAAGTATAGGGCTAGAACAGGTGCTAACTCAATAAACAGTGCTAACAGCAGCAACAGTGCTGACAGAACTAATGTAACCTGGGGGGAAATTGGAGGGTTGGTGCTACATGTATGCAACAACACCATCCTGATATCAGCATTATCCACTGTATGAGTGCAGTTCAGTGTGGTGGTGATCATGTTACTTACCACACTATATTGTTAAAATAACCCAACATAGATCTTTGGTTTCACACAGGACACATACAGCAGTTTCCCAGGTGTACATTCTGTGTTTTCTCCCCGCTGCCCTATAAGGACTTTCTCGCTCTTTTCACCTCGGCTGTTGCTCAAAGCATCAAATAATGATGCCACGTGGTGTGTCTCAAAGGGCGGTGCATCAGTATCATCGGTAACATCAGTATGTGATACTGGAGCCACTGACCAAGCTTCGATATTTGATGAGCTGGGAGCGAGGATGGGTTGGTAAAACACCAAATAAACTCAGTGACTGAGACACTGTGGCCAACCAACCCACCAAAATTTCAAATTCTGCTAAAACCTGATTGGTGTACTGTAGTACACGACATCACACTGTCCCACTTAGCCCCGCCCTCACCAGAGCTAAGAAAAAACACCAAACAGAAATCTCTCACCTGAAATAAACTGTTGTAACTTTGGCAGAAACCTGTGTGTTCATGTAGGGTTAGGTAGGTTCTTCACTCACAGTAAAACGTTTTGTTGAGAAAATAATTTTTCAGGGCCTTTAAAAAAATCCCACTGTGGTTCCTCTGTACGTACAGGAGGCCGTGGAGTCGTGCCTGACCCGCATCACCAAGCTGGAGCTGCAGCAGCAACAGCAGCAGGTCGTCCAGTTGGAGGGAGTGGAGAACGCCAATGCTCGAGCTCTGCTGGGTAAACTCATCAACGTCATCCTGGCGCTCATGGCCGTGCTGCTGGTCTTCGTCTCAACCTTGGCCAACTTCATCACCCCGCTGATGAAGACCCGAGCCCGGGTGGCTGCCACCGTCTTGCTGACCTTGCTGCTGTTCATCCTGTGGAAGCAGTGGGACTTTGTGGAGCCGTGGCTGCTGCCCAGCTGAGCTCCCTGAGAGAGACGGCAGCGGAGGCCAGAGCAGGGAGTCACAAACTCATCACCACAGAAGGATTGAAGGACTGAAATAGAACGAGGGCCACTGCACTTGTTGCCTGTGAGAGTGAAGGAGGAGCAATCTGAGGACAAAACATGGCACTTTTAAATGAGGATGGACAGGATCCAGCCTGCAGGGTGTGGAGAGGTGTTTACAATGAAAGAACAGAAATTCTCTGCTTGCCAAGTGACAAAAGACATCATCTCATCTCGCCCAAATCTACTGGTGTTGATGATCAATCATCGGTTGCATTGCTGTCACCAAAAACTGAGTTTCTTGCAAGAAATCTTTGGATCGTCTTTTTCTAATTATTTATGATACATGAAAACTTAATAACGACTTTAAAATGCTGACCATGTTCGCCGTAACCTTCATGTTGAAGCTATAGAATATTTGAGAGGATAAAGGTTTTTTTCCATGAATGTTATGTGCTCATGCATGTCCTCATATGTGCACTAAGATGCATCTAGCTGGCATGAGTTACCATTTCATTAATGACTAGATGAATCTTCTATAACTGCCGTTTTGTTGTCAGAAATAACAGTGCAGGTATGTTGTATCTCGGCTCAGTGTCACTCCTGGTTTGTTTCACATCCTGTTCTGGTGTTGAAGCAGTGCTTTTAGACGCATTTCTCTCTTTTTGTCTTTTTCTTGAAGTCGAATGAACTGTTTAACAAAAAAAAAAAAAGCTGATATCTGCGACAGATTCACCATAATAATTCAACAATGTAAAATTTGTTCTGTCCATAAATGCTCTTTCATAACCACTATTGTAGAACTGCTACTATCCACAGTGTCAAATTAACTGGCATGTCAAATTGTATCAAAGTTTATATCCAGTTTGCAAAAAACAATTATTGCTGTTTTATTAAACACTGTAAGAAATAAATGATTTCATATATTAGGCTGACCTTGAATATATCCTTATCATCCTTTTTATTTCAGAGACTGAACTTTTTGACTGAAATTTTGTGGAATTTGTAAAAGAGCAACATCTTACATTAATTAATATATATGATATATATATATAAGATATAGAAATAATAGCACTACCTTCTAATCTAATTAGGTAAGTCTTATAAGCAGGGGCGTAGCACCACATTCTGGGCCCTGTGTATAAGCAGTCTCTTTGGGCCCCTTATGCTTTCTCTCTTGATTCATGTCTCTCTCACGCACCTTTTCAGTTTTTACAAGGTCATTTTGCTTTCTTTCCCTTTCCTTTCTTTTTCCTTTCTTGCTGAAAGGGATGACGGTGTACGCTGGTGCCCCAGCAGCATCAGCAGGCACTAACTAGAATTAGCAAGGTGAAAATTAAAACTGCCCTGTTCGGTTCAATTTGTTAGCCCCCTAAGCGTGGTTCGTTTGGGCAGGTGTGAACACAGCAATCGCAGTCGAGTGTGCACCAAAACAACCGGACTAAGACCTTCTTGAAGAGGTGGCCTCGGTCCGCCTACAAACGAACTCTGGTGCAGTTTGTTTGTAATGAGAACGTGTTCTGACCTCAATTCGAACCAACTGCAGTCACATTACGCATTGTTTGGGTTAAACATGAGCATGTTACAGTCCTGGAGGATTATTAATGTGCACCTCCTCCTGTACTGCCTTAATATGCACATTCAGCACATCCAATGCATCAAAACATTGTTTTCTAGTTGGAGCCGCACCTTGTTTTCAAACTGTATGGTTTGACTAAAATGAACAATGACAGCAATATAGTACACAATGAGCAGCGCTAAAATCAACCTGCGTAGTTGTCCCTCCATTGTGACATTAGAAAGTGTCACATTTATCTTGCATGTGTACTCTTCTTCAATGTTTTGTTTACTTCCTGGATTTTTCCTGCATGGAAATTCTGACCAATCAAGAGCAGCTTTCTCGTGCAAGGCATTTTATCTGGTCCTCTTATAAATGCTGCCATGGGAACATGAACCAACTCAAGGCAATTATGCAGCCTTGTAACAAAATTAGCCCCTTATTCAGACCTAAGCAAGACAACTCTAGGTCTGAAAGCACCCTTAAAAATGTATTCTAGTGCAGGGGCGGACCAAACCATTTTCTTAAGGGGTGGTGAGAGGGGCCTTTGAGCACTTCCACTATTCACCCAGTCTTTCAACTGATCTCTTCATCCCATTTTAATTAGGCACTAAAGGTATGGCACTAATTACTAACAAATAAAAACTGCAAAAACACTTAACTTTTAATTCTTGGCTTTTTGAGGCCCCCCCTCCCACTGTGGCCCTTAGCAATCAGTCCCACTCTCCTCCGACTCTGACGCCCCTGTTTGTAACTAATAGTTTTATTAATAGTTAATAAAATGTTTTCTAAAACTATATAATTCTGTTTTAAACCATTACTAATAGCAACTTTTGAGTTGCCAATTTGTGAAAAATTCCCTTGACTGTTTGGACAGTGTAGCCATGCTTTTTTTTTTGTTTTTGTTTTTTTTTTGTTTAAAAAGGGTTTTTTTTTTTTACCAAAAAATCTATTTAATAACAACTTATCGAGCATTTATTAATGGATTACCAACATCTATTACTGTATCATTACCTGATAGAGAGGATTAATACCAAGGGGATTTTTCATTACCTGGAAACCCAAAATGAGTTTTCACTCTTATTGCTGCTCTATGAAGCATTAGTAAATGATTTATTTACCATAAATAAAGTCATTGGATAAAAAGTATTACCATTAGACAGTGATGTTGTTAAGTTAGTAAGTATGCTAAGTAATTATATCAACATGAAACTGCATAACAGCTGACTTTAGTGTGATCAGCAGTTCAGCCGGTGCTCTTTAAAACAGAAATAAATAATGCTTTATGTAGGTCCAGCTGATATAACCATAAAGCTAAATGTTAATCTTCAAATCGGTGTTTAGCTAAATGCTACCGTATTTGAACAGTAGCAGAGAAGAGTCATAAAATCAGTGACTTTATGTTGTGCAGCAATATTTACTTTAAGTTTGCTAACATTAGCCTCCATAAGATTTTATTGCTTATGAAGACACTCCTCATTCGTATGAGAAAGTGTTATTTCTTCTCTCAAAAGTTACACAGACCTGCTCTAAAGACAGTAGCAGTCTCGCAGCTCATCGACCAAGTAATTAATAAAATCCTTCAAACAAATCCTTGTGGTTTATGTTCCACTTCCCAGATTTTTAGTGTATATGATTTCAATCAAATGCATTCAGGACGTTTGTAAAAAAAAAAAAAAATGGGTAAAGAAAAAAAAACCTCATGGTACGTGAATTAAAATAAAAGGATAGGGGGCAAGTTCACTGCTGAGAAGATAAATCGTCCTCAGAGATTATTTACATTTAATACCCTCTCATCAGTTGCATCTTTGTCTGGACCAGATTACATTTATTCTCGGTTTCAAGTCTTAAAGAAAGCATTAGAGGAGCAGAATTAGTGTTTCAGTTCAACTGCGTATCCATCTGCTAATCCTGTGGATTACTTCAGCTCTACTTTACTGTGCCTGTTTCTGTTGCGATGCTAAATTTGTGACCATTTCCCCTGACTTAATGTACACTGAGAACACCTTTGTATGCTCCTGTAAGGTTGGTAACATAGATATTGCAGGCACTATGATGACTAGTTGAAGCTACATACACAGGTGTAGATTTCAGGGGGGGCACAGGGGGGATATTCCCCTCAAGATTTAGAACGTGTGCATTTGTCCCCCCTTGATAAAAACATGAAAGTAGCTGAGGGCTTTTACTTTGATTTAAAAAATAAAAATAAAATAAATCAATCAAAGACATTTATACCATAAATTGATGCATTAAAAGGCACAAAATGGTGCATCAAAAAAATCACCAGAATGCAGGAAATTACATGTTTGGTGCTCAAAATTTTCTGGCAGAGGACCCCTGAACCCCTAGTTTTGTATAATTCTAAGATATAGACCAAATCACAATGTTAAAAATAAAGTGTGTTTGGTTTTTTTTTTTACAAACTTAACATGTTTGCGAGTCATTTGCGGTCCATTCAAAGTGGACCCTCAACCCACCAGTTGGTAACCACTGCTCTACTTTTCACTCTAAAATGAATACAACAAAAGAAACGTTTCAAATTTGTTTTGTCTTTTTAATAATTACCGTCAGGCAAAACCCATATGACCATTACATTTATGACAGGTATTCTTACAGTACAAGACAGAACTCAAGGGGATCAGAGCTGGTGGCATGGCCACACCTGACCACTAAAAAGTAAGACATTCATCGTCATTAGATTGTTCCAACTTTTACATAGAGTTCACAAATGTATCTTGCGTTCGACTCGTATCAAACACAAGTTTTTCTTGATTACCTAGCAAATTCTAAAGACCTTGATAGAAACAGCAGAGTAGAAAAAAACGTTGTATAACAAGCAGAAGAATTCCTGATTTTATCTCAATTTCCTGTCAAGATGCAAGATGTACAATATATTGCTTTCAGGTGCTCAACTCAAAATGGGTACCCCAACACATTCTTCTGTATCGCAGTCTGCCCTTTCACTCACTTTCCATCTCCTGTAAGTAAATCACAGGCGCAGTGTCTCCGACCCGGGCTCAGACTACTCTAACCGTTACACCACAGGGGGAGCTGCCATTTAAACAAGATACAGGAGCTAAAAGATGAACAATCACACAGATAGGACCAACAATATTAGCCCCTCCTCAAAAGTGCAGCTTTCCGTCACTCATCGTCGATCAAGTGTTTTCGTGAAAGTGAAACATAGAATGACTACAAAAGAAATTAAAACAAAAACTATTCCTGTTCACTGAGAGCGCAGGCCGGATGCCCCGAGCCTCGAGCCTAAGACACAGTATCCAGTCACAGCAGTACAGTTGAGGAGAGGACATGATGACGTACAAACGACACAGGGATGAGTATTAAAAGTTTCCGTAACTGACATTTCACAATAATCAAAAAAGCTGAACAGGAGGCGACACAGAGTCTGGACTTCAGTCGCTGGATTCATTTCATTCAAGTGGAACTACACAATGATGTTGGAAGATGTACCTCTTATAATATGCAGTGCACTGCCAATCAGATGTACAGTCATATATAAGATGCACATTAACAACATTAATGTGATAAAAGTGCTCTAAAATCCAGACTCCGTGTCGCCTTTGAATGTAAAATGCTGTTTCAGGAGAGCGCCTGGTTGGTTCCAGACTCAACAGACATGAGCCTGATTGTTTTTAAAAACACGGACACACATCTTGGTGTTCAGCAGGACGGAGGCGGACCTGCTCCCACAGTCTTCAGGCCATTAACCGATATGCTGGTCCCACAGGCTGAGAAACCCGTGGCGTCATTTATGAAAAGGTTTTTCTTTTTGTGAAATCAAACATAATCCAAATCCATCCGTCACAACACTTTAATCAAAATTATTTTCTTTAAATTTACCTTGGCAACATTACAGTGTGTGTACCTTCATTATCGTCCCTCTCATCTGGATTATGCTGCTAAAATTTTCACCTCGACTCATGATTGTGGCTGTCCTACTGCCCCCGTTGCCATCTTTTTTTAGTAAATCATTTCAAACTGATTGTTTTAATGACATCTGGGAAAACATTAGAGAACGTTTTCATAAATGCAGCCGTTAGTTGCCACATACAGGTCGACATCACAGCGAGAGGTACCTAGGCAGACCTCTGGGTATAGAAGAGAATATAGGCCTGAGTGTTGCACACTTCCTCCACGCTGCAAACCTTCATCTCAGAGTCATTACAGTGGACCCAGAAACCTGAGGATGCAAAGACAAAGGTTAACGAACAAACAACAGGACGTCACAGATTGATCTGAATTGATCGGCGTCCTCACCTCCTTCTGTATTGTAGCAGTATGCGGTGTAGTGCCCTGAGCCAAAGCCTTTACCATGATGCATAACAACAGCAGACAGATCGTAGGTGTAGCCTCCTCTGTGGACAGAGTGACCTGAGCCTGTGCAGCAGTATGGTTTGATGTTCAGAATCTGGTCAAAGGCCACATGGACGCCGATTTTCTCCCTATGGTTCCGCCCCGACCATCTGCCGTACAACAGGGACAAGTTAGCCTCACAAGGACTAGGAGCATGTTCATGGTATTAACATGCGTCTTGCGTGATGCGATCACATGTGGACTACTCTAAGTCTGTCTGTTGACACCTGGGGTTTCATTTATACAACAATGCTTAGGCTCCACACTAAAGATGTACGTACAGACAAAAGCCAAAAATCGTGTGCGCTTTCTGTGCAGAGTTTGCATGTTCTCCCAGTGTCAGCCTGGGTTTCCTCTGGGTGCTCTGGCTTCCTCCCACAGTCCAAAGACATGCAAGTTAATTGGTGACTCTAAATTGACCATAGGTGTGAATGTGAGTGTGACTGTCTCTGTGTGTCAGCCCTGTGATAGTCTGGTGACCTGTCCAGGGTGTACCCTGCCTCTCGCCCAATGTCAGCTGGGATAGGCTCCAGCCCCCCGTGACCCCTAACAGCACAAGCGGCTACGAAAATGATTGAATGAATGAGTAAACTCTGCAGCATGCAGCATATTGATTTGCAGCCTGTCCTTGTCCTGCTCTCATTCTCTCCATTTATCATGAACATTAGACAAGAGCCGCCAGGAGTTGCAGGAGGGTCAGCTCCATCCAACGGCCGCACACACACAGTAACAGGGCTAACTGTTAACATCACACAACTAATGTTACATAACTGCTATTAACGGGTTTAACAACAGAGCTGAGCCGTATTGGTGATGGCGGGAGTTTGTTGGGACTGTTTAACAGCTGCTGTTGTATTAGCTCATGCTGACTAACCGTTCGCCGGGAGGAAAGTGACTCCAGAGACGTTCCTGCAGCTCTGTGTCTAACAGCGGAGCTTCAGATAAGCAAGGATGTCCGCTGAGATGGCAGTCGTTCAATGTGGCCCAGGACACATTAGCGTTCACACTGCTGAAAGACTGTGGCCATATGTGGCCCCGACCACTTCTGAATGGTCTGAGCAACTGGATTTCAAGACGCATTGAGAACACACTGGGTGCATTCACCATTGTACTTAGAGCTGTGCAGTTGTGATCTGATCACCCAGGACACGTTAGTACCAGGTGTAAACACGACCTTACAAACATTATGATGAACATAAATGCTCTTGTACTCAAACACTCTGATTTCAGCTACAAAAAAACAACAAACAAGTCTGGGTCCCTCAAACTGTTTTTAAGTTATTGGATTTGCAGTAAACCTGATAAGAAAATCAGTCTGTAGAGAAACTTGCCTGAAGCGTTTGAGGTGCAGCCGTAGAACCTGAGGTAAACGGTAGATCTGAAGCTGCTTACGTGCCTCTGACAGAACTAAGGGTTTGTGGGATGATTTCCGTCTTCTTTCTGACAAAGCATGAAACAAGGAGCTGGTTAATGAATCTGCAAATCAGTTCAAATTCACATCACTGACATGAGGCTTTGTTTTAGTGCAGAGGTGCCACACTTGCTTACTATTAACAGGCTTTACAAACAGATAAACATTCTGTGTAGCTTCCTGAAGGGCTGCTTTCCTAGTTGTAAAGTCACAGCCTCCTGTCAACAGTGAGCTAACACTCCTCACTCCATCAGTGAGTCATTGTCCTCGGTCACTTGGTCACGAGAGCGTGTGCTGGCACACTGCTGATGGCGCTGCCTGTCAATCAAAACTGAATTCATTTTCAACTATGAAAACTATTTTGTGCATTTACTCATTTACATCAAAGTTTTTTATTTAAATACATGCCATTCAAACTAAATTTCTCCAGGCTCCAGTGTCCTCTGCAGTCCAATTTCCAATTTCCTTTTGTGATGGAATTTTATTTGCACAAGTATGTGTAACAGAGCATTATTAACAAAGCTGCTTGTCAGACATGGATTTTGTTCAATTGGTATGCAAAGCTTAAGAATCAGGTTTTAAAATCAAATGCTACATGCATTAAATTATGTTAAATTGTCTAATTACCCAACTCAAGCTGTAGGTTTTTTTTTAACCTGCTGCCTTTGCTTTGAATGGTATGAAACATTACACTCACTGTTGCAGTGGTTGCAGGCGTAAATGCTGCCTTCGAGAGCCTCCATTTCCGTAAACTTGGACAGCATCTCAGTGAGGGTGCAGCTGCGCTGGTAAGCTGTGGAGCCTGAGCCTTTTTCTATGCTGTGGTATCGCTCTGGAAACTCCAAAGACAAATCCCAGAACGGCTCAACTGTGTTAGACTTGTGCTTACAGGACAGACACGTCACCTAAAAAAACACACACAGTGAGGAGAGAAGAAGAGGTGAGGACTCCAGTGGTAAGAATTTGTGATGTCTATTGATGACACCAAGTCTTAATTTTAGACATTAAATGAATCTCTAAAAAAACACATTGAGATAAAACATCACAAAATATCTGAGTATTAGAGTGTCTTAAAAAATCAAAGTGTTGATCATTGTTTTAGGGAAAGAATTAATTAATATTATTAGCAAATATATCACAAAGGAACACTTTTTTGCCCTCACTCTTTCACTGTTAAGAGTTTAAAGGCAGGTTTGGGACACAGTAATCATATTATGAAGTGTTTATATGAGCTTATATCTGATGTCTCACCTGGCTGAGTAGCTGCCCATGAAATATGGTGTTGAGAACCTTTAGCACTTGCTTGGACAGTTTCCTCTTTGTGATGGGGATAACTATCCTGCGTTTGGACCCCTCTGTGTCCAGCTCCTGCTGCACCTTGTCCAGCAGCTCACACAAGAACTCCTGGGCGTCCTGCTGGTCGTACCCACGAAAAGCTGGGATGAGGTTCCACACGGAGTGCAGCATGGCGAATGGAGACACTAAAGACCACCGGCCTGACCACATGACCCTGAAAAGTGTATGTAACTCATGGCAAAGAGACATCTGCTGGCGGGTGGAGCAGCGAGGCTCCTTGGGCTGGACCAACTCTGAAGCCTGTGGGGCAGGCGGGGCACTTTCTTTTTTACCCATGGGCAAATTCCAACTGCCCGCCTTCCCCATGCGTCCAAGAGGGCATCCTGACAGTGCTGTGTTCCCACTGCTGACTACACCTCCTGTCACACCCTTCACCCCCTGGGAGTGATTGGTCTTGGCCAGCAGCTCCTCAGTCTCACACAGGTCCAAAGTGAGAAAACACTCCCTGAATTTCTGCAGGTGGCTCAGCACTTGCAATATAGAGTTCATGTAGCACGTGTTCCCCAAATTGCGCAGACCAGTGACACCTGGAGCCAGTCTCCGGCGGGTTACCGCGTGTGTGGAGTAGTACCTCCTCAGTTTGGCAGCTCTGCCATTCTGAGGAGCCTTACGGGACAGGGTTAGAAGGGAAGGCTTCTTGGGAGGAGGTGGAGGAGGAGGTAGGCGTTCTGGAGGGTCGCGAAATTTGCGAGGAATGAGTGTGATGGTTGAACGTGGCGCCTGAGTGAGAAGCCTAGCACTCTTTCTGGGAGGGACGTTGCCAAGCTCTTCCATTAGTCTCCTTTTAACCTCTTTCTTTTGTCTTCTAGCTTCCTCAAGTTTCTCTTTACGCTCAGTCTGCAGCTCCTGATGTTTACCCATCCACGTCCGAAGCATCTTCCCAAGAAGTGCTTTCCTCCTGTGACGCAAGGCCAGCTGCATGGCAGGCTGTGGCCCACCTTCCCCAACCCAGGGAGCGCAGTCCCCCCCAGTCGAGGAGCGTAGTGAGCGTCTACCTGGGCTGCGAACAGTAGAGAGCGCCCCTCTGAGGAGTTTGAGGTCTCCCTCTGCGTTATCATTGAGTACATAGTCTCCACAGGCAAAACAGAAGACATCCAGCTCACGCACCTCCATAGCCAGTGGGTGGTGTGACTCCTGAAAGTGTTTGAGTGAGTGCTCCTCCATGAAACGTCCACAGGCCACATGGGAGCACTTGAGGCAGGCCCACACCGAATCGGTGGTGCTGCAGTCCACACAGTGCCATTTTTGTGGATTGAGGATGGAATGGTCGTGGCCCAGACGAAGGCGTCCCACGTGCTTACAGCGATCCATCTCTCCCCATACACATGTGGCCTCAGTGATAGGACACACGTCCTGTAACCAAGCAGCAACTCATTCTGAGGTGAGATTCACAGAAAAAAAAGTGAGATTAGAAATAATATAATTAATGTGCACACACAGACTGTACTGTACAGAAAAATGACATAAATTGAAAAGGTTTACTCACTATGAAAGCAGTTTGCTTTATCAGGTTTGAGACAATACATCACAACATCTGCAGAGAACTCAACGGCAACGTTCGGCTTGATCACCCATGTCCACCATCACCACTGTCACCGACAGAAACACTCTGAGAAACAGGGATGAAATCAAATTAATAGTGTGTAGTTGCATCAAGACTCTGATTAATTAAATCAAAGCTGCATCTTATCTCTAACAAATTTTAATGAAATAGCGAGACCAAAACTAGGAACATCAATAACTACAAACTAACAATTTACACACAAGACATTTCCTATGAGGTTTGGTCACCACAAAACGAACTCTCTCCACCTCAACAATACCCAGCATTTAAGAAGTATTCAAACACTTTAAAGGTCTAGTTTATGGAATTTAGTGGCATCTAGGGGCTGAGGTTGCAGACTGCACCCAACTAAAACTTTCCCCATGTGCAAAAAAGCTACAGGCCCTATCTAGAGCCAGTGTTAGGTTTGTCCATTCTGGGCTACTGTAGATAGAAACGACATGGTGAACACTGTGGAAGAGACCTGCCCCACATGTAGACATAAATGACTCATTCTAAGGTAATAAAAGACAGGTGATTATACACAAAAGAAAACCCTATATTATATTCAATTTTTGCTGATATTTCACTCGTATGCCGGTTTCACACTACACAACATTTTTATGTTCAGTCACTATGTCAAATTAGGTGGTTGTGGGGTCATAAAATCATGCCGTAACCTGGATGACGTGTGCTCGCTTGACGCTAATGGCAGTACTCAGCAGGTTGCTCAAGTGCCTCTGCTGTAAAATGCCATTATTTTTTTTTGCCTTTTTACTCAGATAGCTGTGTTCCTAAAGTGACTGCTGTGACCACAGAAGTGGTGAACGATATAAAGAAAATCAAACATGCTAGACTTTCTGTCCCAGACACAGCATTTGTTGTCATCTACTAGGACACACTACATGTGATGTAACGATGGATTATCGCGTACAACACTCATTGTCGTTCAGCCGACATCGTCCAATGCTGTTGGACTAGGCTACTGGGCTATAATCAGGCTGATATGGTGTAGTGTGAACCTGGCATTAATCTTACACACTGGACTTTTAAAGGATCCGTTAGTTTGAGATAATATTAGATCCTTTACGGCAGTGAAAACATGGGGTTTCTAATGTGAACGAAAGGTTTTGAAAATGTCCTGTTTGCAAACATTTAATAATCGTTACAATTAATTTTAAAATGTACCAGATCCTGAGAACTGACTGCAAACTTGGGATGTCACAGTTTGACTGTGATTTTGCGGTAATATGTAAAAAAGGATAAACACTGTGTGTAAAAGCCACTTGATGAATGCGAGACTTGGCACAGACAAATCATACGCTACCTTCCCTTTCTTGTGTGATTTTTTTTAAAAGAGGTTTTTTTCTTCACGCCACAGTGAGCCTGTGCTGGGTAGTTTAGTAATTACATTGTGGGCCTGTAATGCCCATTGAGCCAGTGTATGTAAATCAGGCTAGATAAGTAAACTTGACCTGACAGTACCTTGGATAAACAGTATGGATCACTGACAACCTTTGACATTGAAATAAAACAGAGTGCAGATTTTATGTGGAAAATACAGTATATTTGTTATGTCATTGTTATACATGTGCTAGTAATGATTCAGTCTAATGTTCATTAAAATGTGCCCCTCTCACTACAACATAATAAATGGTGCCTATTCCCATAGATACAATATATAAAGCTTTTAAACTGTGAGACCTACAGGCACAGATGTTGACATGAAGGAGAATGGCTGTCTGTCCATTTAATTATGTGGTTAATCCATGTAATTGTCTACCTCACCGGAACCAGCGCTGTGCGACACCATCCTTTCTGCTTTTCTCTTTGTGTAAATCATGCACTACTTTTAAAACTACAATCTGCACGAAAAGGCACCGTTAACTTGCAAGCCGGTGCAACTGGTTTCTCGTCGGCTGCATACCCAAATCCTGCTATGTTGTGTTGTGCTATTGCCGCTGTGCTATTCAAGTGTCTATTAACGCATGAGCCGCTGATATTCACAAATGTTACAATAACCCATCTGTGTCGTTATGTGTCCGTGTTTTAAAGCCTGTCGCCCGGACCAGACTGGCTGGCTCTTCACGCCATGCTAAGCTACCCCACCATCACCATGTTCAGCCAGAACAAAGAGCAGTCAGAGAGCCACTCTCCAGGAACATCCACCAACTTTGTTGCTCTGAGGCAGCTCCGCGAGCCATAAGTTAGCTAACACCGCTAACCGCTAGCTACGGCGGCTCCGCTCGGGCTTAGCGGTGCCTAGCCTTTCGCTGTCTTACCTAATAATATACTTTGTTAAACACATATAATTCGCTTGGCACCAAGTGGCTAACATTTATGATATTAGCTTGCCACGGTGGCTGCCGTTAGCTTCGCGGCTAACGCGTTTCCCGAGGACAATCGAAGTTAACCCAACGGTTGTTGTTGGTCGCTAACGTTAACTAAGTCTTAACACCGCACGGCTTAGCTCGCTAGCGAACTGCGCCGCTAACGGTTTAAAAACTCCCCGGTGACTTTCATCACAGAAAGCCGGTTAACGGAGCGCGCGTTAACGCCGGGGCCTCATCTGCGCTCGTTACTACATTTGTAATATCTGATAACGGAAAAGCTGGGTAACGTTACCATCGCCAACATCCATCCATCCGGTACACTCAGAGCTGGTTGTTGTCCTCCTCTCACAGATTGAACAACCCAACTCTCGATCCGAGCCCAGACCCTGCTGCTCTCATTGGACCGGGGCTGAGCGGCAGCCCGGCTCTCATTGGCGGAGCGGCTGAACAACAGGCAGCAGGATGGACCGTCCGTCCGTCCACCCACCGAGGCCACATGGAACAATAACCGAGGCTAGACCGCACACCGGGCACAGAGGACAACTGCACCCGGAGCCCCTGACCCCAATGTCCCCGAAAGCCCCGTGTTCACCATGTGTCAGCTGGTTCGTGGTAATCTGATAAAATGCATGAGGGGATGTGTAGCTTTAAAGCACAGTATTAGCTGGAGCTGGGGTTGGACTTCAAAATCCAGACTTGGGGCCTCTATGGCTGCAAATAATTGTGATTTGAGTTCACACAGGGTGAAACCGGTGCCAAGTAGTAATCCAGCACCAGGCTGCTGTTTGGAAAAATATGCACTGGGTGTGTAAAGCCCTCAGATTACCACCATTTATTGTAGTTTTTACTTGATGACTCATTCTGACAGTATGTGTGACATGAAACTTTCAGATGCATTATTCACTACTTTGTAGACACATCATACAAGTCATCTTGTGTGTGTTTCTGCACAGATATTTTAAATTAATAATACTTTCTTTCCTGCTAATCCTCAGGACAGGACATTTTAAACTGTCAAGCACCAGAGGCTGAGGAAATATTTACATCCTTCAGTTGCAGTAGCAGTAAGACAATGTAAACATACTTTGCTGTAAGTCTTATTATTGATGTGTAAGAATAAAAACAGCATTTTAAACTCTCTTCAATTTCTAAAACTACATGTGCATTCACAAACTTGACTTCATTGACATCTTACTCTTTCTTTTTCACGGACACATTTTGACATGTCACAGCAGGAAAAGCTCTGGAATGAATAATAAAATTCACATTTAATTCCATTTAGCTGTTGTCATAGTTCAGCGGGACACTTGAATAGAGCAGAGCCCCTGTTAAAGTTATTAGCAACACCTCTGTATTGTGCATGCTGCTCACTAGTATGGCTTAAGAGGCAATTTAACCTGAACAGAGACCTGAGTCATTCATGTTACCTGCACTTTAATAAACTTAGAAATCAAAATCTCTCCCATGAAAAAGTCGATTGAATGTACACCATAGGGGGATTGAGATGTGCAGGTCACCGCAGAGGCACACAAGAGATGTCCTTGTGCGTACTTCAATACAGCTCTTCTGTTTAAAACTTCCATTTACTAATTAAACAAAGGCCTTTAGTCACCAGCTAAAGATGTCTCTCCAGAGGAGGTTACAACCCCATCAAGAGGACATTTGAAGTATGTGTGTATGATTTTAAAAGGAAAATCACAGCTTATGTTCTCCATTAAGTCTCTTTAATTCAAAATTCTTTCATCAAATAGTGAGGTGTAATGCAATGTGGAGGCTCCACAAATGGGAATAAAAAAAACACAGGCTTTGAAAAATGCCAGGATAACATGCTGCTCCATAGGACCAGAAGTAAAGCAACAACAACACAAACATAAACAAAATAGTTCTTCCCATTGCCACTGACAACTCAACGCACGTTACTTCCTGGGATTTGCAGTTTACGGAGTTTGTTGAACAACTCCAGGTACTGAGTCATGGTGTCAACGCAGTCTGATGGAGCAAAGAGTCCTTCAGGCTTGGCAGCAAACACAGACGGCAGTTCAGGGACGCTGGGGCCAAGGAAGGACTGCATGAACTCCTTGATGAGATTCCAGCAGTCCCCTGGAACCACACAGGGACAGTACTCCACCTGAGGAGGTACACAAAGTGTTAAAGCAGTCACAGTGGGACACAGTCATGTTTCCACTCTGACAATATTCATTTAACTACATACCTCCACTGATATCCCTCTGGCACTGGAGCTCATCGTCACAGTACCAACTTTTATCAAGAAGTCACAGTAACGATATCTAGAACCACGACACTCCACCTTGTGGCCCTTGGCATTTTGGAAGTGACTCTTTAGCTTCACCATGAGAACGTCAAAGTTTGCGTCGGCTATCAGGCAGGGTCCGCCTTCAAACAGAGCCATGCAGCTCAGCGGTGTTTCAGAGTTGTGCATCACATATAAGAGCTTGGAGGGCTGACCTGTAACAGATGAAATATCAAGTAAGGACGTTTATTCAAGTACTGCTCTTATGCACAGTCTTGAAGTATTGACGCTTAACTAAATACTTACTAGATACTTTATAATATAATTTGTACATGTTGTAATTTGTATTTTTTGTTCCATCACATTTATCTGTTCGATCACACCGAGATGAAACGCTAGAAACGCAACGCCAGTAAAACCATTGTTTTCCTATGATACGGCGCGTCTGACCGGCGTTCAAGCGTCTTTTTAGACGGCTGTTTTTCCAGCGTCTTTTTAGACGCGCGTTTTTGTAGATGCTTCTTTTTAGACGCGCGTGCATTGAATAAGCGCTTCCAGCGTTTCAAGCATCTTTGAAGCGTCCGCGTCTCTAGCGTCTCATTTCTGTGTGATCACCCCCTTAATCAGAGCAGTTGCTTACAGGATAATGCTTTCCATGCAAAAAATACAAAATCGGAGTGCAAAATTAACCTTTCTGTCCACAGGCCAAAAGGCTAGTGAATGTTTAAATTTTACCAACCACTCAATAGATAACAATTGTTTTTGGGGGGGCTGGTGAGTGAGGGAAATCTACAAGCCACATGCATATTTGCCAGCATTTGGCTGGTAGATGGTGCTAAATTTTGTACCCTGCAACTAACTAAACTAAAAATATGATGAACTGTTGCCGTTCAAAGCAGTCCAAAGCTGTCAAAGTGCATGTTAATACTTGTTATACTAATATATGCCTAAAATATAATACAGTGAAAAACATTCTTTTACCATTTCTTACAAATATATGTTGTCAATGTTAAACTCTTGAATGCAGGATGTTCACAGGAGTATTTCCCTTTGGTGTTATATTAGCACTCTATCTAATTTAAACATTTGTATCATCCTCTGTGGCTCTGGAGGGGGCTTCTTTGAGGAAAAATAACCCTGATGATGTCCTCAAGGTCAATTATGCTTGGGCGTGAGAGAGATGTTGTAATGCAAACCCTGAATTACAAAATGACAACATGGACTTTGAAAGATGTAAGACTTTATCACACCAGGAGGATCTAAAGCATTAGTTCCCAACTGGTCCAGATTTTTCCTTCCGTCATAAGTTCAAGGTCCACATAGTTTGATACAGCGCCTCACTTCCATTTGGCCATATTGTTGAACTAGTGTGCTGTCTCTGTTGAGTAGGAGTCCGTCAGTCACTCACTCTACAGCTGGAAACAGCGCTTCAAATAAAAGCTCTGTAGTGGAAATTCACTGTACTTCAAAATAAAGTGTGTTTTTTACTAAATTGACATGTTTGCAAGTCACTTGCGGTCCATTCAGAATGGACCTGCAATCCACTTTTGGACCACGACCCATCAGTTGGGAACCACTGGTTTAAAGAATGTCGCAACTGAGTGGCATTATGAGAAATGTAGGATTAAGGTATTTTGGAGCAATGTCATGGACTGAAAGTCAGGATGCCCTTGCCTAAGCTGCTTGGACTTTATTGAAGTGCAAAACCAAACTGCAGGAGTATCTCCTATCCATCCTATGATGAGGGTCTAATGTTCTTAGACACTCTATCAGAACTATTAGGCTAAATATGATGCTCCAAAAAGGGAAGAGAATTCAATATTACCGCTGACATTTGTTGCATGATATGTCTCGCAGTCTACACAGAAGCTGCCCTGCTTCACAGCACCCAGCTGCTCCAGCTTCTTGTGCAGGATATCCACTGTCTGCTGCACACTCTTCCCCTCCGCCACAGGCACCTGGCACACACTGCGGGAAAAACAAAGCACCACATCACGTTAGCAATCACCAGCATAATCTGTAAGACAAGACGGAGAAGCCGAGTAAAACCTGCTTTTTAACTGTCATGTATATGTAAGGTGGTAACTACTCACTATTTTGCAAAGCATCGCGTGAATGAGAGTGATGGAGCGCTGCTTAGTAACAAAATATATCTGCGATGTCTGAGGCGAGATACTGAAGACGGATATATATACAAATTATAATAATAACGTTACAAACTACACAAAAATTCTAGATATAGCTAAAACCATAAAGTAATCATCTCACCAAGTGACCCCCATTGATATTTTGCCTCCAATTGTTTTTCTCGGCTTTCGGTTGACTACTTCCGGGTGGAAAGTGAGACTTCCGGTAAAGTTAAAGTAGAATATTTAATATGTTAAACAGCCAAAAAACATTCTGGGCAATTAATGGTGCTGGATATTCACATTGCACCGATATTCCAACAGTTTAATGCCAACAGAAACATTACTCTACCTTCATACGAGGTTTAAAAGTTTCTTTAGCGTGACGTAAATTACGTCACTTCCCTTCCGTAATGGACATCCGCACGTGTTGAACAAGTGTTTACAGTGCTTGTTATTTCTTGGCTTTGGGTGGCACATGCCAACAAAAAACACAATTATTGTCGCTACATCTTCTGTGAAACTACCGCGATGCCAAAAGTGAAGAAGTCCAGAGGCGGAGGTGGAGAGACGAGCGGGGCAGCGGTGGCGCTGGCTGACCAAATCCTGCAGGCGGACACGGTGCGAGCCCGAGGCCGAGTCAAGAACAGAGACAGCCGGGCAGAAAACGAAGACAAGTACGTAGACGAGCGTCTGTCGCGGAAGATCTTACAACAGGCCCGAATTCAACAAGAGGAGCTTCAGACCGAATATGGCCTGGCACCAGAGAAGAAGAAAACACCAGTCACTGTTCTCGGTAATGTTGGAGGTCTGTCCTCCTCAATGTGAACTGTTTCCATGTCATTTAAAAAGTTACCTCTTACATGAAATGCAGTACATTGACACATATATGATTGGAGTCTGGTATAATAGGAGGTGTCTACTCTAAGTGTCCGTATTGGCACAGTTACTGATAATTAAGTTAACGGCAAAGTTCACACTCCAGTGAGTAATTTGTAGTCCTATATGTTCAGCAGTAAAGGTCCCATACCATGCTAATTTTCAGGTCCATACTTGTATTTTGCTACTAAAACATGTTTAAATGTTTTGATAGTGAAAAAACAGATTATTTTTCTCATACTGTCTGCCTGAATATACCTATATTCAACCTCCGTCTGAAACACCCTGTTTTAGGTGTGTTTCTTTAAGGGCCTTAAAGGTCCAGACACACCAAACCATCTTTAGAGAACTAGCAGCAATAAAAGCTGACCGTTGCGTCGCCTAACAGCCAAAAAGTTGCATATGAACACACCACATAGAATACAGCCAACAGTCAACTAGCACGTACATTTTGTGCCTGCGTGAGGTAAAATGAGTCTCCACACCAGCAGACAGCAGTAGTCTGTATTCATCATGATGTGTCTTGACGCTTGTTAGTACGTTAACAACACAGTAGTAACGCAAACCATCACAAAATTTCTGCTAAAGAGCTCAGTCGTCAAAGAACAACAGTCTTACCTTATGCAATGAGTTTGTTTTGACCTAAGTCCAGCTTGACTTTAGCCCTTTTGTTTACTTTCCTCACTTCCATTTCTCTTCTCGTGCACTGAGCCGAACAGCCAATCAGTGATTTCATTTGCCGACAGGAGGGCTGTGACGGTATGCCTGGGTGTTTTTTCCAGTTTAACTTAGTGATTGCTGCAAAGTTTTCACTCCTTGTGATGCACTCTCTGTGGCGGTTTTCCTCCTGATGATATATCTCCCCAATGATGGTAGCACCGAATCCCATTCTGTGCAGCAAAATGATTCCACCTCCATAGGAATATGTTAGCTAGCCCCGCAGCTACACCACCAGTCCTCCCCTGACCTCCGTCTCCCCTCGGCCCGTTGCTGCTCCGCCGCTCTGGAGGATTCAGCCTCTCTTCTCGCCCGCTCAGCATCCAACACCTGGGAGTTCCTCATCTGTATGCTCCGGCTCAAACAGGTATGGCTCTGGGTCTGTGTCCGCTACAAGAAACTCCTCAAAATCGCGTTCAAAGTCATTCATTGCAGCTACTATAGTCTGGAGATATCGCTAGGCTAAATAAACAGCTGAGTTTTGTTTACAAGCTACGTCTGTGCCTGCTCACCGGTGTATCCCTCCGCGGATCACAGTGCCGGACGTACTGACCCCAATGCTAACCGCTGAGACCCAGCCACTGGATGTACAGACACAAAAACGATATCCATCATGTTGTCTCGATATGAAAATGATAGCGAAAGGGGATAACTCCCAAAACGTCTGAGTATTCTTTTAACATTTGGCTTGGGAACCAGATCCACCGCCATGATGAATCAGCTTTTTTTTTTTTTTTTTTTTTTTTTTTTTGTTGGGTGCGGTGATGACCTCTTCACCGTGGTAGGCATCATGTGACCGCGGTATTGCGGTGATGCGGTTATTGTCACAGCCCTAGCCGACAGGCTCTGCCAGTGCCGTTTCAACATGTGGAATTGTCCGAAAAAGCTGTCAAGGGCCAATGGTGCGGGACACACCAGGTTGACTAGGGCGACTGACACTTAAAAGTATTGAGTATTTGATACTTTCACAATATGTATACAGCACCTTTATCTGCTTTACATTTAAAAAAAAAAAACATGGAACTCTGACTGACTTTATACAGCATAGGACCTTTAACTACACAGTAATTACAAAAAAAACCCAGAATGCATACAATTGGTGTTGGAAACTTAATTCTGACAGAAAGATTATAACTCAGGAAATATCTGATCAAGGTAAAACTTTGACACATCACACAAATCCATATTGTGTACATATGTTGAATATGTTAGATGTTAGTGTAAAGCTCCTCCAGATGATCGACTTAATCATGACTTAATCGAGGAGAATCCCCTGACTAGAACAATAATAATACATTTTATTTGTAAAACACTTTTCAACACCCAAAGCGCCAAAAAAAGCCCATATCAACAAGTGTGACAGCCATGGATGGATTACTGATGGGGCTTACTGGGCACAGGCTCAGGGGTCCAAAGTTTCAGAGGCCCCCTTGAACTTCACTTGCAAAATGTCACCCAAATTTACCCGTACTGCCCAGGAAGAGAATCAATTTGACCTCAAAGAGTCTCAAAAAGACCAAAGAATACACAACATTTCCTAAAAGAGACACCAAATTACCACAAAGAGATACAAAACCACAACAATAACAGCAACACAAAAGAGGCAAAACCACCACAAGGCTGTGTGTATTGCTCTTCAGGCTGAACATTCCAGAGTCAAGGGCCACTGCAGCAGGAGGCTGTGAATATGGGGACAGTGAAGTGTGAGTGTACCTTTCTTTTTGACCATCATTGTCTTGTACTGACATTTTAGGGCCTGACACCCAGGATGCAGACTCAGATGAGGAGTGGCCAGCGCTGGGACAAGCAGGTGCTGGTGACGGTGACATTGTGTGTGACACAGAAGTCGTCGTTGACCCTGATGATGAAAAGGCCATGGAGATGTTCATGAATAAAAACCCTCCGATGAGGCAAGATGCAACATAATCCTGCTTCATCTTGAAACTAGCTGCAGAGATTTCATTTAAATGACACACACCATCAGCTCAGTTTCTACTGTGAATGCTCAGCTGTGATTTCTCTCTTTGTCGTTTGCAGACGGACTTTAGCTGATATCATCATGGAGAAGATTACAGAGAAGCAGACTGAGGTCGGGACAGTGATGTCAGAAGTGTCAGGGCGCCCGATGCCTCAGCTCGACCCGAGGATAATAGAAGTGTACAGAGGTGTCAATAAGGTGAGTTACATCAGTTGTCTTCAAGTTAGGAAAGTTTCCATTTAGTTCCTGTATGTCAATTTGAAGATCTCCTCGTGAGAAGTTAAATGACAGTTATTATTTCTGTTCTTTTTCTTAAGGTTCTGTCAAGATATCGCAGTGGTAAATTACCAAAGGCTTTTAAAATAGTCCCAGCACTTGCAAACTGGGAGCAGGTTCTCTATTTGACAGAGCCTGAGACCTGGACAGCAGCCGCCATGTACCAAGCAACAAGGTGAGTCCCCAAATTGGTTTGGTTTTTGCCTTTACATTGAGCCATTAATCTTATTTACTGCAGATCTTTCAACCTGGTACAATGTTTTTTTCTTTTTAATAGAATCTTCTCGTCCAATCTGAAAGAGCGAATGGCCCAGAGGTTTTACAACTTGGTGCTGCTGCCCCGAGTACGGGACGATATTGCGGAGTACAAGCGACTCAACTTTCATCTCTACAGTGCTCTGAAGAAGGCCTTGTTCAAACCAGGAGCATGGTTTAAAGGTGAGACCATTTCAATGAATACTTGGTTTTCTTTTTTTACCGTGAGAAGAGAAAATTAATATTAGAGCTGCAACTATTGTCGATAAATCTGTCGCTGACTCTCTGTAGTGTGTAACCTGTTTGTGCCAGTCAGGGTGCACATCCTGATCATGTCCAGAGAGATTCTTCATTAACAGCAATCTGAATGTTGCTGAAAGATGCAAAGTGGATTGAAAATTCCAAATTTACTTGATGTTTTCTGTAAATTTTTATTAAACCTTTAAGTATTAAATTAATAAGTGCCACTCCTCCAGCTGTTATCAAGATTCTAAATTTCAATGGTAAATACATGTGTGATGTAGGAGAGGGCAAGCTGAGAGTAAAATATAATTGTGTTAAAGTAGAATACTTCCTAATATTTGCAGTCCTGTAAACAGAAGCCAACATGTTTGGCATTTCAAGTTATTGTTTCATTAAATGTCCAGTAAACACTGCGTTAAGCTCTGGTCACAAGTGACCCTTGGAAATAAAAAAGTGGGTAAAGTGAAAGAAAGAGAGGATTTGACAGCTTGTCGCAAAGAAGAAAATATAAGCTCTCTGGGACGTGTCACGTCTCTAATTTCAGCACTAAATTTAGAAATTTTATTCTGAGGACACTGTCGGAGGATTAGTCGGTGTCCACAGGGTAAATAACACCATTGGTTCTGGAAGCTCAGAAATTAACACACTCAAATTTAATTGGGTCAAATCATCCTTCATGTGTCTAGAATTCGATTCGGCCAGTGTTTTTTTTTTTCTTTCCCCCTAATCCTGTTGGTCTTGTGTGTTTACAAACTGTCCCAGTTTAATGGGACTGTTTTCCCCAAAACATCCCGTGACCCATATTTACAAAACCACCAGTATGAGACAACACCACTAGGGGGCAGCATTGCTGACAATGCACCATCTGTTCACCACTCAGAGTGTGAATGAGAGCGTACTGACCTCTGCTGATCTCCATTAATGCTTATATTATTGGGTTTCATTTAATTTACTGAAGATATTAAACATTTGATTAATGAAATTGATTATGTGAGTTTTAGTTTGATGTTTTCTCATGTTATCAGTGCACCTGGAGGCTCTGAAATAATGTGTTGCATCATTGTTTCTCCAAAATAAATCACGTGCAGAAGCAAACTAGAAGCACAGAATTATACTGTAGGTAATTATTAAGTTTAATATGTAGTGTGCAATGTAATGTCCGATGTGGAATTGCACCCTGGACAGTGCAGTAACCTGTAAACTGACATCTTCTTTTTTTTACTTGTTGAATCCAAGATATTAATCTTTTGTCACATGAATTAAAATGAGTCTGTTTCAGTTAAGTACGTACAGCTCTCTGAGGCTCTGTACACCTGGCAAAGGCGACAGTGTCGGCTAAATGGAGGTCTTCTAAGACTGCCGGTAGACAATAACCTTGTGTTTTCTCCAGTGTGGGTTTTCTCCAGATGCTCCAGCTTCCTCCCACAGTCCAAACACATGCAGGTTAATTGATAACTCTAAATTGTCCGTAGGTGTGAATGTGAGTGTGAATGGTTGTCTGTCTCTATGTGTCAGCCCTGTGATAGTCTGGCGACCTGTCCAGGGTGTACCCTGCCTCTCGCCCAATGACAGCTGGGATAGGCTCCAGCCCCCCTGTGACCCTGTGTGAATGAATGAAAGAATGAAGGTCACATGGCCAACTCTGCTAATCATATAACCATTTTAAGTTCTCGAGTGACATGATGCTTCCAAGTCATAAACATGGGAATCTTGCCCATCCGTCCCACACAATGTTTAGACAGCATAAGAATAGATGCTTTTGACTTGCATAATTGGAAGTGTCCAGCGTTTTGGGAGCTTTTACCAGTTATTCCCTTTATTGGGGACTAAATGTCAGGTTTATCACCATCTATTATCTAATATTTTGTGCCTCCTCTGTCACACAGGTATACTGATTCCTCTGTGTGAATCTGGGACATGTACTCTTAGGGAAGCCATCATCATCGGGAGCATACTCACAAAGTGCTCCATCCCTGTGCTCCACTCCAGGTACGGTTTCCTTTCACTGACACACACCAGCAGGCAGATGTCAGCATTTTATTGCTAGATGTAGAATTCAGCCTGGTATCCTTAAATGATTTATAGTGTTACACAGTGTACCAATACCAGAAAAGGGTTGCACTACCCTGCCGAAAAAAGTGGTTTAAGAATCACAGTGATAGAAGGAGCCATATTTCCTATGTGTGGCGTCAATGTGTGGCAGCGGGGGGATGTGTGTGTGCAGCGCTCTGCTTTCACTCGCTGCAGCCATACTGGGTGTGCCAACTGTTGTTTTCCACAGCTTGATGACAACACAGACACACAAAGCAACATACCTGACAGCCAGGGCAACCCCACAGACAACACAAAGCCCGTCAGTTAAAGATGTTTTTAACCCACGCAGACCAAGAGGGCCAACATGTCCAACTCTGCAAAGCCTCTCACTGACAGACATGCCAACCTGTTCAAAGAGCGACTGGTTAGCAAATGTGATAGACAACATAATTACATCAAACAAGTGTGATTTATTTTGTGACAAGAAAACTTTTTACACCACCTGATTTGGCTTTATCATTTTTGCTTACTCTTACTTGCTGATATGCAAGTGCAACATTCACACTTGTAACTTTCCCATAATTTGCAGGCTGCTAAAAATCAGGTGTTTACAAGTATGCAGATCAAGAACACTGGTTATAAGTGATCAATTTATGCATGATCAGTACTGGTAGTGGTAATTGTGACATGTTCATTTTTGTCCATAATTATTTCTAGTACTAGAAAATGCCCTCAGTAGCGTGCAGATCCCTGCAGAGGAGGTGTATCCAGTCTTAGTAAAGGCTGTTTCATGATATCTGGTTGCAGTTATAGAGTCAATTATCACATAATCACATTAACTGAAGTATAGGGGACATCAGATTACTGCATACCATTTAACAGCTTTAATAACTCCATTACATTTACAATCATCCAGTTATTAATCTTATAAATGTACTAATTAATTGTCAGAAAGACATGTATGTGTATGAAATTTAACAGCACATATACTACAATTTTACTGAGCACGAAAATAATAAACATGACATTAATTGTAAGTCTGACACTTAGTGGTGATGAGGCTCAAACCCAGGATTATTATCCTGCACATCACAGCAGTGCAGCAAAGTAGACTGAGGACAAATGACTTAATACACCTCCTCAGTGGTGGTCTGCTCTCTACTGAGCGTATTTTCTATTTAGTCGAATTAGATTTAAAAAGGACAATTATTGAGAACAAAATTTCCTTAAAAGTGGAAAAAAAATCCAAAGAACTTTAAGCTCCATGTTCTGTCATTATTATTCTGTTACTTTTCCTGATGGGTGAGTTTTTGCAGCGGTGTTGTTTGAGTATCGGTATTGGGACATTAAAACAGGTCTCATGTTAAAGTCATAATTTTGGTATCGTGACACTAGTTGGCAGGACAAGTAAGGTCAAAGTTGCGTAACATTGGAGGTTGTATAACGTAAAATCTTTCATGCCTTGCAGCGCTGCAATGCTTAAGTTGGCAGAGATGGAGTACAACGGCGCCAACAGCATTTTCCTGCGCCTCTTGCTCGACAAGAAGTACGCCCTGCCTTTCCGTGTACTAGATGCCTTGGTGGCCCACTTCCTGTCCTTCCGCAATGAAAAACGTGTGCTTCCTGTGCTGTGGCATCAGAGTCTACTCACCCTGGCTCAGCGCTACAAGGCTGACCTGGCCTCTGAACAGAAGACGGCACTGCTGGAGCTGCTCAGGATCCAAACGCACCCTCAGATCTCTGCAGAGATTCGCAGAGAACTGCAGAACTCAGAGTGCAGGGATGTTGAAGTCGGGCTCCCTGTTACAGTTGAAATGGACTGAGGAATCACTCTGGTCTGGCGCCTCCTCCCTCTCTGATGCAAATGATTTGTGGATTCTTCAGAATGAAGAAAATATTGTCTAATCTAACTTTATTCTTCCTGACCCACAAATAGACAGTTTCAAAGATGGCAGTGTCTCAGGAGATGTAATTCTGTTCCCTGCTCGGATGAGTTTGCACATTTGAAAATGCACATCACTAGTGATATAGATGTTGTAAATTCATATGAGGAACATCTGAGCTTTTTTTACTGCAGCTACAGTGCAGTGATTGCTTGGTAATACACAGACTGGTATTTTATTTGGTTTAAAGCAGTTTTGTTGTTTTGGAGCAACAATTTGGATTAAAAAGGAAGTAAATCCTGAAAAAGTTGGTCAGGGATCATGTGTTTCTTTCCATTTTTCCAACTGCAATACACAAGATGAATGGTAAACTCATGTTAAAAGCGGTGTTTGTCTATTTGCAGCCTGCCTTGGTATCTTCAATTGGGGAATAAACGTTGATACTGTTGGTAAACCAAATTTTCTGTAATATTTTTAACCGTCTCTCACCTGTCAGTTACAACTGACAAGTAACTATTCTTAATGCAACTTTTCATTTCTTCATAAGACAACAATGTGAATGTGTGAATGTGCCCATTGAAAAGTATATTGATAAAAGACAATGAGTTACTGTTGCATTCAACATCAGCTTTACCCCAAACTGCAAGAGAAGGCCCAGTTTCATTGCCCAAATTTAGTTGATGAGGGGCTGTCAGAAAAAATGTTGACATTACTGATTCTGGCCTCCCTGATGTGACAATAACTGGGCCAGAAAGCTTGACCCTACAGTAAGGAAACTCAATCTGCCTGGGGGCCACATTTGCAAAATGACAGCAGGCCAGGGGACAGTTAATAATCAAACAAATAACATTTTTATATAATAAATGAATTACCTGTTTTCAACCTTTGGACTTTTGCTGTCCTCACTCATCTCTGCCAAGCAGGAAATCCAGTTGCAGCAGCCCTGCACAGTACAGGTGTTTATATAAGGGCATTTCTAGGATTTGAGAACGTTTTGGGGCTTAGCCACAGATTAACAGTAATACCTGTATACTGGATACCAAGATGTTGCTTATTCATTCCAGTAGAGCTGCTTGCATAGTACATACACCAAAAAAAGTTTGAAGTTTCCAGGTTGACTTCAGCAGTATGCAGCCCACTGAATGTGTGCAGTAGTGTTGATGATATAATGATGTCACAGATTTTGAAATCGCTTTCCAAAGCTCCGTGGAGGTTTTACAGTTATAAAATATCCATGGATAACAAATGTATTTTATAAAGAGTCATAAATTACCTTGTTTGCAATTGTTTGCTCGGCATTGCAGCCATTTTTTTCCCAGTGGCCACTTAAGGTATTGTGGGGAAAAAAATCTCCTGTTGCCCGAAAAGTGTGTTCCCTATAGACCACCTCTGTAAAAGAGACATCTGTAAAACGGTTTACGGGACACCTCAAACTGCAAACAAGGTCAGTCATGAATCTTTCTATTCTGAATTTTTGAGCCAGAGGTTTTATATTTGTAAAACAACCTCAAGCCAAGAAAAGCGATTTTAAAAATGTGATGTTATCACTACATGAAGTCTGTGAGCCACGTGTGAACGCACAGGTGGGGCCAGCAGGAAAAAAACTATTGCACAAATTCAGTAGGTAGCATACCATGAAAGTAAACCCAAAAGCTATAAATAAAATTGGCATATGCGCCAGATGAGCAACTCTTGGAAGGAACAGGCGCCATCTTGGTGTCTGTTATCTAGTTAACGTTATTATCAAAATCTATCAAGTAGCCTCAACCTATTTTTTTTTTAATAATCAAGTTCCATGTTGATACTTTTAATGCACTCTGGTAGCTTACTTACGTTCTATTTAAGAAAATAAAAATAAAAAATTGTGAATTAGAAAATGGTCGCTGGGCCACTGGGCACCCTGAAGTGGGCCAACTGTGGCCCATGGGCCGTTAATAGGCTCTGTGAACAGGCCCTGCACCATAAGGTTAGCATTTTTAACCTATTTTAATTTCTTATGATAGAAGTTTATATTTAGGAAAAAAAGCCACTATGACTTTAAATTGACTTTGTTTTTGGTTTGGTTTTAATGAAGCAGTAAAAAGAAACGGCAGTTTATGAACCTTACAGGACGATTAGCATAGCTAGCTAACGGTAGCTAACGCGGTGGTAACGGTTAGCAGCAAGCTTAACGGTTAATTGATATGCTAATGGTTTACCGAAGCTTTATTTAAAACTGTGTCTAACGTCGTCGAGTGGGTCATTGTGAGGATGGACAGCTTCAGAGTGCACCCAGAGATATAAATGTCGGCGAAATGTGGAGTGACGTGGTTCACCGGGCGGTCAGCGACGGTCCCGTGACCGGCGACCTGAGGACAGTGCGCAACCTGACGGCCGTGGAGAAGAGCTGCCAGGTGGCTCCTTATTTCGGCACAGTCCAGAGAGACGTGCAGCCATACATGCGGAGGATACTGGCAGTGTGGATGTTTCAGGTATGCAAATCCGTTATATAACATAGCTGACTTGAGGTACATACGCCATATGGTCGTTTGTCTCACAGGTGTGTGAGGAGCAGAAGTGTGAGGAGGAGGTGTTTCCGCTGGCGGTGCATTACCTGGACTGTTACCTGAGCCGTCACCCCATTGAAAAGTCCCACCTGCAGCTTTTGGGATGTGTTTGTATGTTCCTGGCCTCCAAAATGAGAGAGACTGTGCCCCTGACTCCCATCAAGCTATGTATCTACACAGACAACTCCATCTCAGTGTCAGACCTCCTGGTAACTCTTTATTTTTTATGTGGGCTACACATTGTTTTTTGGGATAGTAGATGTGCAGAGATTCAGGAAGTGGAGTTTAAGGACTATCAGTATGTCTAGAGCAGTCGAATAGTGAGGTGCACACTCTGCTACTGTACATCTGCCCATAAACAATGTGGACTGCACACAACTAATTTAAAGGAACAGTGTGTGGCATTTAGGGGGATTTAGTGGCAGCTAGTGGTGAGGACTGCAAATTGCAATCAGCTGAAACTTTGTACGCCTAGTTCAGATCAATGATTCGCGATGATACAAAATCGTTTTAGAACGTTTCAGAGAAAAGTTGCAGCGGAATGAAATGGCCATCTGAGCTCACCTGCAGCTTCGCTGGTAAAATCGTAAAACGTAAACGTAAAGCACGTCACCTGTTTAAACAGCCAATCAGCTTGTAGTGAAGTCTGCTGGTTAAGTCTAGTCTGCGGCCATTAGTGGCCATTTTGGTAAGGAAACGGAACCAGGGCGAGTGAGACGGGATCCGGAATTCGATGGATGTGCCTTTCCGTAAAAATAAAAGCACCAAGCTAATAAAAATGTGGTGAAACTTTTAATTTAAAGAATATAATTTACAAGAAAAGCCCCAAGCCATTAAGTTAATCGATTTTCTTACACCCCTCATCACCCCAAATCGATGGTGCGCCAGAATTTAAAGTTTTACTATGGTAAACACTTTTAGTTTGGTGAATTTGGTGAATACCTCATCCGCTCCCTAGACCGGAACCAGAATCCAGACAAAATTCAGAGTGAATAGACACCAGGCTCTTCGCTTGAAGAGCCTGGTGACGCGAGGCTAGGTTAAGTCAAAATGACTGCAGACGGTGCGTTTACTTGCTGCGGCAGGTGTTCCGTCCCCGCCAAGCCCTCCGGTTCTGTCCTCACATGTGCCAGTGGGTCGCTGCTGCTGCTTGCTGTATGTGCTTATACCCCCTCACACTTACATTCTCATTGACTGATTAAGTGGTGCTGGTTATTGATATTATTGTGGCATATGTATCATCTGATGCTCATTTTGTTTATGTTTTTCACTGTTTCATCACCACTACAAATGCAACTGTAGCCAGTGTCTCACTATCACTATCCTCATTCATATTTTAAGAAGCTACAAATTATATTCAGCCACAAAATAAGCCTGAAATGCCGGAAATCATAACGTAAGTACAGAGAGTTGTTGCATAGAGATGATACACCGTCTCATCTAGTTGCATTGGTGTGAACCGGCAGGTTTTACAGCGTTGCAGTAGGGTGAATTGCACAAAGATGCCTGTTTAAACTCATCTCATTGCAAATCTTTGGTCTGAACTGGGCTTTAGATTCCTTCCCAGGTTAAAAAAATCAGTGTTTTTCCAATGCGCTGGTCACCGAAGGGCTGCAAGTTGACTGCAAATGGGCTAATGAGAAAATGTGAATGGCCCTATCTAGAGCCAGTGTTTGGTTCCTGTTCTGGGCTACTGTAGAAACATGGTGCTGCAACATGCCGAGGGCCAGCTCCCTATGTAGATATAAATGGCTCATTCTTAGTTAACGAAAATGTAGTTCTTATTTTCAGGTTATTATACACTAAAGAAACATACTTATCATATTATATTCCCTTTCTGCCAATACATCGCCCTAAATTGTCTTAGTCATTTGTCAAGCAAAAATGTCAAAATGAGATAATTCTAGGTTATCTTTTGTGAGGATGTGCTGCTGTCCTTGGTCTTACATTGTAGTAAATTTAATATTTTTACATTTGGAAATGTTGGTTTGGACAAAACAAGACAGTTGATGAAGTCACTTATGGCTCTAGGATAATGTAACACGCTTTTCTCACTGTTTCCTAATGTTTTGTAGACCAAACGGTTTATTGAGAAAATAATCTGAGTTCCCTCAGATAGTGGACAAAGCTTCAGAGGGTACTTGATTAAAGTTTCATGCAGTGGCACTTTGATGGTGGATTGGTTCAGAGGAATGTGTGTGTTTCAGCAGTGGGAGGTAGCAGTGGTGTCCAGGTTAGACTGGTGTCTGGCATCTGTGGTACCCTCTGACTTCCTGGAGCCAATTCTCCACACTCTCCCCTTTCTTCAGCCCCACCACTTCCCAAACATGCGCAGGCATGTTCACTCCTACATCGCTCTGGCAGCCACTGGTGAGTTACATAACTGAACTGCCAACACATGAGATGTTTCTTTTTTTCCAAATAAAATACACCTAAAGTCACCATGCATTGGGAGTGGAAAACATATTTAAAACAACATATATTCTTGTGTTAAATTATTTCTGTGCTCAATTATAAGGAATTTTTATCATCCAGCTGCAATAAAAGCAGCTATTTTATATCCCTTGTAATGAATTGGGGGTAAAAAGTTGTTCGTTAGCATTTGACGTAACAGTGAAATTAAATGACTTTCCACACAGTGAACAATGGACACAAAGCAGCCATAAGTTTGATTACGATGTGTCAGCAGTTCATTTTGGAGACAGAGAGCTGAGTTTGTGTAATCCTGCATTGTCTGCTGTGAAAGACCTGCGTCCAACTATTCAGCTGGCTGATTTCCCACGAATCTCTGTGGTGCTGCCCGAGGCAACGGGTCACGGGGATACAGTCAGTCAGTGCCGTTTTAGACACACTATGACATTACAGCCCATAAAATTAAGACAATTCCTGGCTCCCGACATTGTAGCCCATTCAAAGAGGTGTCTGAGTGTGGATTGAATGTCAGACCTTTTGTCTCAGTGTTTCTCCTGCCTGAAGCAATTAGGATGCTGTATCAGATTATCAGCTTTTTGGGAAATGTCTGCTTTTGAGTACTTGCTTTTGTCTCTCAGGGTGTGTCTGCACTGGTGGCATCTGCTTAATGTCTACATCTAGCTTTTACTGACTTTCTCATTGTTGCAATCATCTACAAGTGAGCTACAAATGGCCATCATAATTATGCAATACTAGCTTTTTTTTTTAATTTTAGAGTAACTCATCTTCCTCTCTTATTGTCAGACTGCAGGTTTTCAGTGTTCTTGCCCTCCACTGTTGTGTGTGCCTGTGTGAGCCTCGCCATGCAGAGGCTAAAGTTAGTGGATGCTGCCGTCTCCTCTGATTTGGTGATGACGTTTTTGGCTAACCTTTTGGTCATTGATCTGGTAAGGGTAATGTTTAACTGACATTATAGATAATATCTCTTTTGACTTTGCCCTGTTGTCAACATTGACCCACATGTTTGTGACCATTTTATGAAGCGTCCTGTTAAAACTGTCTCGAGAAAATGTACAAACAAGGGGCATGTTCAAGAACAGCATCCATGCACATGCAGTATTGGTCAAGATTAGGGTCTCAAAACTCCACAAGTATTCAAGTTGCAAACTTTTCATGGGAAATAATGGGAATAGGAATTTTAATGAAGTTCAAAGATTAATAAAATTCTATCTTATCTCTTATAAAATGAAAATATAGAGGTCATTTATGCAGGCTATTTTTACCATGTCATAGAAACAAACCTTTTACCATATTGCAAGCAAACATAATTGTAAACTCTTCACTTAGAAATAAAAAAATCACCAATTTAGTTGAGCTGAAATTTAATTAAATGAGTTGACTTGTGTAACATCATATTGAACCTTCATTGAGTGATGACAACAGCAAAAAAGAATAACATTCCCCTCCAAAAAAAACTTTACAAAGAGTAATTCCCCCCAAATAAATTCACTATTTGAATGTTCAATTTTAATATTGAAAATTGAATTGAAATTATTATTATTATTATTTATTTAATTTTAATTAAATGAATTTAATTTAATTAATTATCATTATTTTTTTTATTTTCTTACAAAATTCCAGAACTTAACCTCCCTTGCAAAATTTCTGGAAATTTACCAACCCTTTGCAACACTAGTCAAGAGCCAATAGGAGAAGTCTGTCCGTGACCCACTGATGAACTTGCGGTTGTTTTTCTTTCTATCTGACCCTGAACAGAGCTCCGTCCACCTCTGCTTTGAGCAGCTAGAGAATGAGCTGGAGCTCAGCCTGCCCTCTTGTTTCAAGACTAATGTTTGCACATCAGGAGCACACAGCTCAGAGATCAGCTACACCCCTGCTGACTTTCAGGATGCTGTATTGACACCAGTGACATCACCCCTGGAAGTTAAGCTAAAATACTCCTCCCTGACATGAATGGCTAGAATGAACTGTATATTTACAGCCATGGTGCAGAACAGGACGGCTATATACCAGGTGAACTGTGTCTAAATGCCAGTTCATCTTGTTCTTTGCAGGTTTATTGTTTCGGTGATCACTCCGCAGCGTATAGAGCTGTTACAGTTTGAGATTTTGTTTGTTGTTTGTAGAATATGATTCATGACACATTAAATGTTTTTGTGATATCGACTGAATTCAACTGAACCCTGAACAGCAATGTTTGCACATTTTAAATGGAATATCTTCTATATAAGGCCAGGGTTATAAATGTGCACACATATATTTGCCATTTAGCTGGATTCATTGATGATTTATATCTGGACAGTTATAAGTTTGAACAGATGTCTCTGCATAGTTATAACACTACTAAATTCCCTTGTGACAATAAATCAGCACTATTAAACAACATGAAAGGAGACATAAAACATGTGTATGTAGGACACTGATGACATTAGCCCACACTTGAGTTCTCTGTTTTTTATTGATTTCCTCATCCTGGTCATAACAGCATGGCAGATCACACAGTCATATAAATGATAAGCCCAGTAACTTTGGCAAACATTTTTGTTGCTGTTAAAGAAAAGTACAATAACAGAGCCTGCATATGTGCAACCTCTGGGACACGAAGGGCAAAAAAACAGTGATGAAATGCCTAAATGCACTTGTTAGCGTACAAAAAAAATGAAATATAACATTTCAGACCTGTCATCATCTGTCACACTGACAGATTAGAAATGACAAAAACTTCCAGCTGAAATTAGGCACTTCCACCTTACTTCTTTATAGGCTTTAAATTCCAGACGAGCCTCACAGTGTGCCCAAAAAAATAACCATAAATAATTGAAATACAGTTTTTACATTCCAGTTACAGCATGGTTGTGCAGCCTCTGTGTTTTATCTTATGCAACTTTTATTACTATAACTCAATACTTCATGAACAGCTGATAAATTATATGGTTATCAAGTTTCGACTGTCCGATAAAGTGCTGCTTCAGGTGCTGGCTGCATGTTCTAATTCAATGCCAGCATGCCAATCCAATGAAGTCACTCCAGTGTGCAGCATGACATCTCATAGAGAAACAAACATACTCATTTCATTTCTCTGACTACCAGGAGGCATTTCATAAAGCAGGAGTAGGAACCAGATAACGTAATTAATGATCATCATCAACATACATGATTTTACTTTTTAAGTCATGTACGTCTTTAACAGTTAAATGGCTCAACGTCTAATCCGGCTTTGTGAAATACTCAACCACCCCAGGTGTCTGGATATTTTAAATTAAAACATAAAGTTCAACACACCTGAGCTCCATGACTGATCTTAAAAATTCAGCTGAAAGGTTACACATTATACACAGCATACAGTAGTGAGCAGGGGCTCATGGTTCACTTTCAGACACAAGTCACTGTTTTCCAAATTTCCAGTTGTGACACTCAAAAAAACAAACTCTGAGGTGACTTAATGAGCCCCACCTTTACTGTGAAACTGCCACGTGCACACTGGGTGAATGGCCACCTGTGCACTTCTATCGGCCCAGGCTTGGGAGCAAAAGCAGGTTCTTCTGGTTTTGCTCGATGTGACTCATATGTGTCGTGATTATTATTCAAGTCATTATCCAAACTTAGATCGAGTCATTTCGAGAGGAAAAAAACAACAATTAAAAAAAGAAACTTGAAAGCTGAAGTCCCTGTTACACACAAATGTCCTCTTGGCACTTTTTGCTGGTGCTTTAAATAAAGACAAACAAAGAAAGTCTGTTGACATTAGGAAATTTTGCTCTTTGGTATCCATGAAATGTCATTTCCCCACGCCGTAAAGCACAGTAAAAGCTGTGGTATATCCATCCTAACGTTGAACCTGTGCTGCTATTAGATAAACATAAGGTCACACAGGTAGAATTCACAGGAGCTGTTAAGTCATAAACACTTTCTCAAACAGTCCTGTTGACAATGAAAGACACTGACTTTGTGGCTTATGCAATGTTTAAACAACAGTCCTATTGTGACCATAAAGTGTCAGTTTCTGAGTTTACTATCACAGAGTTAACTGCTGAGCAAACATTGAAGACCAGTGTTTTGGTTTCAGGTTGACTTTTTGCAACTACACTTTTGATAGCGAGCTCTCGTGTTGAAAAGTAGAGCTCCTGACCGACCAACAGCAGCTCTCTTCTCCTGAGAATCTTTGAAATGGACATCTTCAACTACAGGAAAGTTTTTTATAAAATACTGAGCCATGTGGTTATTTTACAGCCTGTTTTACACAAATTCAAATCTCAAGCTTTATCAATCACTATCTTGAATACAATCTGTGTTAAACAAGAAGCCTCCTGCCTTTTTGGTACTGGATAATTCCTGAAATTAGCCAAAATGATAATGACTACAGTGTGCTGGTAATTTCACTTAATGCACTTTGGCTATCAAGTCCTTATTAGTTTACAGTCATTTAAAAATCCTGAATGAACACAGGTCTTTAAATGAGGGTCCTTCACCAACTACTGGTCTTCAGCTTGCTGCAGCGCCCCGTAAAACCATGGCCTGTTTGTAAGCCTCTGTTACGTTATCACAGTCTGTGATGGAAAAGGCACTGTCAGCCACTCCAGACTTGTAGCAGTTCCAGGGCCTCAGCGGCCCGTCCCCAAGGATCCCGTCTTCGTTGATGTCCAGCAGGTTGTCAGCAGACACACACCCTCTCATGCTTGCCTTGGCTGGTTTGTCCATTTGTGCTGGAGGTCCTACATGGTCCGGCAGATCCAGCTGATCAAAGGACTCAGAAGACAGAATGCTGTCCTCGCTGATCGCCCCACTCGGCCTTGACCTGGTGCCGCTACGGGGTAAGGAAGCTGCCAGCTGGTCGAGGGAGCCGAACTCCTGCAGCCCACCAGAGGAGAACTTCCCATTGCGCTTCAAGATGCCTTTCCTATGGGTTGGTGCTGAGGGGCACTCTTTAGTTTGTGGTGGCCAGCCAGAGTCACTGTTTTCAGGAGACGAGGAGTAGTACCCTGACTCCTGCTCTGTGGGCTTCTTCAGGATACCTTTGCGAGGCAGCAGTGCAGCTGAAGGAGCATTATCTGGTGTAGACATAATTTTCTGTGGATCTACTGAACCTACAGTGGGGGTTTCACTGATTGCCTTCTGCTTCACACTGTTGCGTCTCTTTAAAATACCCTTAGAGGGCCGACTGTCTGTGCTAACTTCATGAATGGTCTGGGTGACATTGTTTTCCTTCCGCGACCTTCGCAGAGAGCGCTGCCGGACCACATCTCCTCCGGCGCCCTGTGAGCGGAGCAGGCAGCGCATCTTGGAGCCATTCTCTAGTAAAGGCCTGGATGTACGGCGCAGCCAACTAGCAACACTAGCCAGCCCAGCAGGGTGTGATGCTAATGGAGAGGTTGGTGAGGTGGTCTGCTCCACAGGACTGCTCTTTGTCTCAGTCAGTAATGACTGCTGGTATCCCCAGTTGAGCCACCAGTGTCCTGCTATCTCCTCTATTGTGGCTCTGCGCTCAGGATTCACCATCAGCATCCAGCGGATTAGCCCACATGCATCTACGAGAGAGCAACAGAGAAAAAACATGTTGTTTTTTTGTGTTCAACTGCAGAAGTGCCAAGACATAACTATAAAACTAGAATTACCACTCTGTGGTTGTGTGCCTACACAAACCCATTAAGTTGCACTTAGATTACATCCATGTCTGTAAAAACATGACATTTGTGTGAAACTTTGTCATAATTAGTGTAGAAATTCATAGGTTATAGCCAACAACATGTTTTGTGAGGTCACAGTGACCTTGACCTTTGACCACCAAATTCTAATCAGTTCCTTCTTGAGACCAAGTGTACGTTTGTGCCAAATTTGAGGAAATCCCCTTCAGGCCCTCTTGAGATATCGCGTTCATGTGAGTGAGACAGACGCAAGGTCACAATAACCTTGACCTTTGACCACCAAAATGTAATCAGTTCATCACTGAGTCCAAGAGGACATTTGTGCCAAATTTGAAGAAATTTCTTAGATATCTTGGTTATGAGAATGGGATGGATGGATGAACATACAGACGGACAGACGACCCGAACACTTTGTGCCTCTAGTCATGGCTGCCGCCAGTGCAGTAGCATAACAAAGTACCTACACCTAAATGATGTTTCAAAGAAAAGTTGGGCTGAGAGACTCACCAGAGGGGTTGCTGGGTTTCCGATAGTTTCCAGTGCTTATTTGTTGAACCAACGCCTTGTGGTTGTTTCCATCAAACGGCATGGTGCCATGAACCATGGTGTACAACAGCACACCAAGGGACCAGGTGTCCACCTCTGGCCCACGGTATGGCCGACCGTTGACAATCTCTGGGGAGGCATACAGAGGGCTACCACAAAAGGTTTGAAGATACTCGTCACCATGGTAGAGGTTCGACAAGCCAAAGTCTGCAATCTGCGATAACAGGAAGTAGACGTCAAGTTGAGTCAGATCTGATGTATCATCATGAAAAAATAACCTCCCTAAAAAAATTCCATATGCATCACTATAAGTCACTGATTATTCATGACACGTACTGTGATTTAAAGATTGAATAGTGAATCCGTTTTTTTCCATGAGAAGTTCTAAAGGAAGTAATGAAATCTGCCAAATATGACACGCTCATTTTTTATATTATCTTTGCAATAACCACCATCTGCTATCATTTATAATCCAAACTCTACAAAAATCAGAAGCCATTAAATTGCATACTTTAATGCCCATGAGCCCTGTGTGCTAATGTGTGTGCTGGAACATCTCCCATACGCATACCTTCACATTGCCGTTGTCATCTAGTAAAATATTCTCCAGTTTCAGGTCCCGGTGTACTATTCCATTCTAAGAGGAAGAACAAAAAGAAAAGATATCAGTTTTTTGCATAACAATATTTTTTACAACGTCTCCACCCAGGCCATTACACATCAATTTACTGCAGGTTGTCTACATTATATAAAAGGATTAGTCTTTACTGGGTCAGATCACATTCTTTTCCGAGTGAAGATTGTTTTCTGGTACGTCAGCTATGCCTCATTGTCCTCCGCTCTGCAGGGGGGCATGCCTTTGACTCAGGCCCAGTTTGAATGTGTTTTGCTTTCAAACATGCAGGTCAACTACATCTCACGTACAGCAACTGTTTGTAGCAACAGACACATTGTTTGCAGGTTGTGTTATGTACCATTCATTTATTGTTGAGATGCAGTCATGGGGAAACGATTGCGTGAAGTGCTTTCGTTTTCATCACCGTTCCATACATAACAGTGATTTTAGATGGTCTTTTTCAGACTGCTGTCGACGTGGAAAATTAAATATTTAACAAGGAATCAGGACCCAATAAAAGTGAATTAAGACAGGTGGTTGACACAGAATATGACAAGGCAATTCACTCTCTAAATACTGCCCAGCAAACATTTTAAATACTCTGCAAAGTACTGAGCAGCTACACTAAAGTACAGTGTGCTGTAAAATGTTCGTAATTACACAGCAACGGCTGATTGTGTGCGTGTGTGTGGAGCCCTTCTGTTCCATCACACCCTCATTAGACTGTGAGGCCATGCGTGTGTGTGTGTGTATAAGTGTGTGTGTTGGGACGGCTGGCCTTCAGCCCTGACGCTAGCTCTCTACAGACCAACTGTTCATTTCCCCCTGCATCGTTCTCACAGCCTCCCTGTTCAGATCAGCAGGCTCACACTGAATAATGCCTATTATGTAACTTTGGGGGTGCCAGTGCCCAGGAAAAAAAAAACAAGCAGAGCAGCTAGTCTGAGTGGAGCTCGCGCCATTAGCTGTGCCATAGCAGTCATGCGTGAAGAGGGCTGAGATACTCCACCGTAGCTGCAACTTTTTAATCAAGACTTACGGATGTGCACATTTTTGAAGTTCCCTATGATTATATTTTCTGTAAACAACTTTATATATTCTATATAAAAACAATGTACTGAGCCTTACCTGATGGCAGTAGTGCACAGCTGATACAATCTGTCTGAAGAAGTGTCTGGTCTCCCGTTCAGAGATGTTCCTCTTGTCACAGATGTAGTCGTACAGGTCCCCTCGGCTGGCATACTCCATCACAATCACAATTTTGTCCTTGTTCTCAAATACTGCAAGATAAAAAACATCAGATTTCCTTTTATTCAAGGTTTAAAACTCATATCATCATCTTAGATTATGTGGAATTCTAGTCTGGACTGTGCAGAGCCTCTTACAGTGCCAAAACATACATTTTGATTAAGGCCTTGCCGCCATTTGAAATAGATGCCAGATTTCTATCTGCCTGTAAAACCCTTTGTTCACTCTGATTAGGATAAACGAGGCCTCAGGATGACTGGATGGCAAACAAACATGCACTGAGGTGGACAAACACTGAACGATGACCATCTGATCAGGCGTGATGGGCAATGGAAGACACGAAGCTCAGAGGTATCAGAGGTTATGTAACAAGGCATCGGTCTTCAGCACAAAAGACTTGCGTGACCAAGCTCTGACTCTCAAACAGAGAGTGACTGAGAGTCGTCTTTTTCCAGGTATCACGTTTCACTCCGCATGTGGTTCAGAGCCTCAGTCACCTCTGACAGGTGAACGATGGCACTAAACCCAAACACACACACACACACACACACACACACACACACAGAAAGCACAATGTTTTAACTACTGTACCTTCATATATGGTGATGATGTGCGGGTGGCAGAGTGAGGACATGATCTCAATTTCTCTGCGAATATGAACCAGGTCTTGCTCATCTTTGATCTTCTCCTTTCTGATCGACTTAATGGCAACCTGAAAAAGAAAAAGGATATTTATCTTTTGAGAAAAAATATATTATAATATGAATACTTATTAGAAAACTGAGATCCAGGTAAGACTGATTCCAGAGACAAATAAATAAAAAGATACAGCTTTGCAGTTGTTAGGAGAGTCAAACAGTTCCTTTATAGCAGGGATGTAACTTTTAACGAACAGCAGCCACTTTGGCCACAAGTGACAATTGACCCTTTGCTAAGTCGTGTCCCCAAAAAGCAGACTGGCTCATCATAGGGTAGCATCAGCCACCTTTGACGAAGGTCTAAAAACTTTGTGGCTTTGCTCCATTGACTCTCATGCAATCATTTAAGATTGCATAACCAAGATGAAACCCTCAAAAGTGTGGACTTAGCTAGCTTGTGAAGGTATACTGCATGTATACGCATGCAGAGTGAATAAAGACATTCTCTGCTTTACAGGAACAGTGGAGGGAAACAGGGAAACTGCCAATATTCAACCAGCTGTGTGTCATCACTGTGTGTGCTGATGAATGGAGTCTAACATCCCTTGGAGCTCTCCACCCATCTGTCCGCTGGCTGAGGTATGGACACCTGACGCTTGTGACACAGGGAGAGGACAAACACTATTCATCTGCACACACTGATGACACAGAGCTGGTTGAAAATCGGCATATCTTCCCTTTAATGTAACTGTCTTCTGTCTTGATCGGCAGGTGATGTGGTGGTTCACTTCGACTGTATAGTTCGGCTTTAGCTTCTCTCCTTATCTCTTCAACTTGTTTTCACTGCTGAGTGAGTTTGACAATCTGGATACATCCCTCAAACACACACTGTAGACCATCTTGTCTGCTTCTCACTGAAAATGCCTTTTCAATTTAAAAAACGAAGCATCACAAAGAGTTGGAGCCTAGCAAAAGGTCAATTGCGGCATAATGGTAAATATTTAAACAAGGTGTAACAGGTGCACAAGTTGAGAGGAGTCTTTACGTGAATAAACCAGCTTGATAATATCAGTTACACTGCAATTTCATTTTCCATAGTTTGCCAACAGTTGCCTCCATTAGCTTCTGGTCATACCAGACCAAGTACGGCTGCAGCATCAAGACCTGGAGTGCACTGAAAGGGTGTGTTTCACTGCTAATGAACCCATTCTTTATGTCCAAAAAGAAGAATGTGTTGCTTATTGTTTCAAGAGTTACGTAACGTCGCTTTAATGACAAAGAAAACATTAATACAATGGTCGGCAGCTGCACTGCTGCTGCAGTAGAGGTCAGTTAATTAATACACTAGATTAGGCCTGTCTACTTAGCAGAACAAGGTAAAAAACATAAACAAATAAGTTATTTAATAAGAGCTACCTTCCATCTGAGGCTTGTCCTCTTGTGAGAGAAACAATGGGCAGTGAACCGATAAATCTGCGCTGTTGTTTCTAACAAGGCAGAGGGAACACCAGGTCAAGTATTGTCTGCTGTGAAGAAATCCATTGTCTGCTGTTATGTCTGTGAGGCTAATAGAATAAGGAAATTTAAATCTGAATAGTATCTGCTGGGGTCTGTATTCACAGACTTATTGCATACAAGCTCCTGACAAGTCTGTAACATGTTTTTATGTTGAGTTTGTCTATTTGAAGCTCAGATGCCTGGGATTCCTCCGAGCGCTGAGTGCGTCATCTGTCGACCCCAATGTTGAAGGGTGTCATGAGGCAGCAGATGGGTGCTGGTGGAGGGGTGTCTTTGTTTCCTCTCTGTTCTAATCCTTATGGCTACAGACACAGGAAGTGTGTGAAGCAGCGACTTGTCATATCAGTTTCAACACACACAACTGTCTCCCGTCATGAGTCACTGTCTGGCCTCTTTTAGGCAGTGCTGTATTCACACAATGTAGACCTTTTTCCTGATACTGGGAACTGTGGTTTCCTGCATTTGTTTGCAGAGCTGTCAGACGGGCTGAACCCACTCATGATGAGTTCACACCCCTGTGCGGTTATCTGTGTGTGTGTCGTCTTCGTCACTGTCAGTGTGTTACACGCAATAGGCACTGAGGTTCAAATATTTGATATTTAATGCTGAGTTCCTGAACAAACAAAACCATACTTTTGCACTTGAAGGTGTAACTGTTGTGTCGCTGGCTGAAGCAACTGTGAAAGCTAAAGTTGCTAATATGTGACCTGTTTGGAATAAAGAGCGAGAGAGAGAGAGAAGTAATATGTCATTTTTTCCATGTGAATTGACACATTACATTTCACAAAAATAACACAATATACCTAAAATTACTAAACTATGTCAATAACGTAAAGCTAAATCACCAAATAAAGTCTGTTAGGTTAGCTTGATTAGATATATACTCATTCTAAACTGCATGAAAACTAACCTACTAGCTAACTTTGAAGCATACACATTCATCCATGTATACACACACATATATAAAATACCTACGTTTACAAGTTATTGGCAATTACGTTTATTATATGTTTACCCCCCTAAGAATGTTATTTATGGAAGTATGTATTAGTTCGTGATAATACTGTGACTTCTTGTTCATATAGTTGATTGCTTTTGATTGGACAACACTACAGATAAGGTCTGAACCAATATCGATTAGTCAGTTGACAGAAACTTAATCGGCAACTATTCTGATTTCTAGTCCAAACGTTCCCTTGTTTCAGGTGTTGTTTTGTCTTTGGGTTAGTACATGAATATTTTTCATCTTTGAATGTTTTACATTTTTAACATTTTATGAGCCAAAAGATTTCATAATGAAAATAATCGGTTGCATAATAACTGCATGATAATTGCGTCATTGCATAATTATTAGTTGCAGCCCAAATGTTGATGTTTGCTAGCACCTGCTTTACACTTTACATAACTCTTTACTTGCTAAGACATTTAATTTGTAAAGATCCAGTGTGTAGGATTTAGAGGGATATATTGACAGAAATGTGATATAATAGTCATAACTATGTATTCTTAGCGTATGATCTTGCAAAACTAAGAAGTGTGGTCTCATTACTTAAGAATGGGCCGTTTATATCTAGGCCTACATATGGAGCAGATGCCATGGTTGTGAGGACTGGATACAGTGTTGGAGGAAGGTCCCTGTTCATTCATATAAAAATTGCTTAGTGTTGCATTATCTCAAAAAAGCTTGAATTCTGTGGTATACAATTACCCAGACCTTCTGCACTATGGGGCCCATAGAGCAAGCACTCAAGAGACTGATGGCAGCTGAGTGGCTACCTTCCACTAGGCCAGTGACTATCTTTCGGTAAAGTGCTCTGCTAACGTGAATGGTGATAAAAATTATTTAATCAGGTGGCTCCTCCAGACTTTCACAATATTATCTGACCAAATGGATCAAATTCTGCAAGTGAAACGAGTCATTTCATGGTGGTTGTGATGCTCAAATTTTTTTTTTAATCTGATTTACAGATGTCTTTTTGGGCCCCATAGCACCTCGTGACAGACCTGAATGTTGTAATTCCACATTTGACAACCATTTAAAATTGGCTTCAAAGCATGGTGCTGTTTCTGGGGCATGCCAGGTCCTCTTCCTAAGAGTCCGCCATGTTGTGTCTACAGTAGTCCAGAATAGACAAACCAAATGCTGGTTCTAGATAGAGCCATTCTTGATTTTGCGTCAGCCACTGTAGATCTTATACATGCTTGGTTCACGGGAGAAGTTTCAAATGGTTGCAATCATCAGTCTAATTGTTAGATGCCACTACATCCTACACTAGACCTTTGCTTGTGCAGCCCCATTCAGTAAATCACTATTCTGAAACTAGCCAGTTGCTACTGAGACCTTAGGAAGGACTTCCCTTACACTTACAAATGGATTTATGAATAGCCTTTACAATGCCAATCAAGGCACTTACGGTGGATGACGATACACCGTCCATGTTATGCACCAAGTGTGTGGTCAACCCTACAGTTGATCTGAGCTGTAACCACCCACCTAAATGGCTTATGTAACCATTCCAATGCATATAGATAATGGGAACAGCTGTGATGCTGCAACTCACGCAAGATGAAGCCATTCTTTGTGCTGCGTCACTCCCCGTATCAAATTACATATCTGTGTCTATTGTGTTGACAATACTAAAGATAGGTAGATAAAAACAATCCAAATGAATGTTTCTCCTGTTTCCATTCTTTGCCAACTGCTGTTTGAGCCGTACTAAGTTCGAAACATATATTAAGGTTAATCAGTATTTTGACATTGAAACATGAGTCCGAGGCATGACAACCAGGAAGCTGCCTGCAGGGATGACTTTCAGACACCAACTCATATCCTATAAAAGCAAAGTGCAGCAGCAGCAGGTCATGTCAGACGTTGTCAGAGCTGAGCTGGGTGTGTAGACAGGACTGGACTTGTATCACTACATGTTTACTGCAGGTACAGTAGGGGAATTCCTGACTCTTACTTCTGTGACATCCAAGTGCTTTCACTCATAACAATCATGATCTTATAACAAAGAGTATTTCTGATAAACATGACTTGGCAGCTGGGGCAGACTCCCTGACGATGGGAGTTCACTTCTAGGCCAGGTATCTGTTGTTGTGTTTTTTGATGAGTCACTACATCTGAGGGTGTCTGCCTGGAAAATAGTGCATTTATACTCTAGGTGTGCTTTTTGTTTTTGATAATTTGATTTCTAGATTAAATATTGGATACATTGAGTTGTGAAGACAACTACAAAATTAAATAAATGGCCGTACAGAACGCAAATTATTGAGTATAAAACACACAAACATACACATTGTTGCCTGTTTATTAGGGACACCTAGTAAAACCTGTTAGAATCCAATGCAGCAGCCCTGCAGTAAACCTTCAAGAAGCCTACAGTGTTTCATTTTTGTTGAAACTGGTTTAGAAAGGTGTTGATTCGACTTTATGGTCATTTTATAGGCTGCAGATTGGAGTGCAGTTAAACTGTGTTGCATTGTACTGAGGTGTCCTAAGGTGTCCTGTTTAGTCTCCCATAGTTTATCATATAAACAGTTACATCATCCATTTATGTTTGTTTAGGAATACAATCACATTCCTATTAGGATACACTATAGAGAAATAATATTATTTATCAAGAAAAGACATTGTCTTTTGTTTGCCAGCTCCTTTATTTCCCATTTGAAGGTTTATCTCAGTCCAGTCTGTTATAAATACCTCCCATTTCCCCTTTGGTCACAGGGAACTGGAATTCACCTGAAGGCCATTCGCCATTTCCCCCCCTCACACTTTATTACAAAAAGAAAGTTACCTAACTTTCCTGTTTGAAACTCCCTGACACAAAGTCACTCAGACTTTCCAATGAAACGCCTTTCCTTTATTCTCTTTAAGTCAATAGGTGACTGGGCAAAACCTCTTGTCTGGTGACAGATTTACAGGAATCAATTTTGGCTTTAGTCTTTGTAGGATGACCTCACACGGAAGTATTGTTTGTTGTCAAATGATCTTCTTTAATACTATGTGGATGTTGTGTTTTTATCGTGATATGAAACTAGATATCGCCTCAGAAATTGGATATCGTAATAAGTGTTGCTTTTTCCTGGCTTTAAAAGTTGCATTACAGTAAAGTGCTGTAATTTAGCTTTTCTATTATTTCCACTTTGTCATTACTGATAAATATCAAAAATCCCATTGAGTAAATATTTAGTGACAGCACCAATAATCAACCCTACAATATATCACAAGTTCAATATTGATATATTTGGTCAAAACATATTGTAATTTCTTTTCTTTCAATATATGTTTTTTAATTTTAAACAATAGTAGGGTGATACAATACAGAAACCCATGATTAAGACAAACCTAATAGTAGCCACAAAGTAAGAACACATGAAAATAAACCAGTTGAATTTACAAAGTCTTTTATATACTTATTTTGTTATATTTGATACCCCCATACTTATGACTCTTGACCACTCTTCTTCTAAGTATATTGATTTTGGGCCCACTCTCTTACAAAAATCTCCAGAGTTCCTCTCAGTACATGTGATAATCTCTAAGTTTTACATACCACATCGTAATGTCAGGGGTTTCTTCATCCAACCACTTTTGTAAAAACTACATGAGATAATAAATGCCACAGCTATTTTTACATTTCCGACACAATGATGAACACGAAGGATCATATTCACATTGAACAGCTGGGGTTACAAGCACTCTGTGAGTTATCTTATATAGGATTTGTTAGAAAATGTAATTTTCTTTGCAAAAATATTGCAATATTTGATTTTCTCCATATCGCCCAGAAGCAACTACTAATAACTTGTAAGTAGGATCACACACAGGGATAGCTATGTGACACCTGGTATCATGATGTGGAAGCATATGAGTGTTATATACATTTTAATTCAGTTTGCCCATAGGATTAACACTGAATACTTTACAATCCTGTTAGCAAACACAGTGTTCTCCACACTTTTAGTAATGCACTGATACAGCTTATGAGAATACAATGCAAAGGGTGTCTATATAGTATATGGGTTGTAATTTGCAAGACATTAAAAAATAGATATTATCACATACACAAAGTGGACACAGTGCTCAGAGAACAGTGAGAGAACTGAGATCAACCCCCACCCTAGAACAAACACATGAACTCTAAAGCAAACTGAAGCTGGTTTGTCAACACCAGCAGCACACACACTGACTGACCTCCCAGGCTATAATTCACCAATATGGCTCATTGGAAACCTATAGCCAGTTCTGCACAGTGTAAAACTTAAAATGCATTTGCAGCCTACCTGTGTGCAGACAGCACGACTTCTAAAAATAGCCCTGTATGTCTAAACAACAGGTGGCCGTTGGGACAGTAGAGCAAACACAGACCTTAATACTGTCTGCAGATGTGCGCATGGCTGATGGTGGCATTGTAACGCACACAGTCACACAGTGATGAAATAAGGTTAATATGAGTGCTTACCAGTCTGCCGGATCTCTCCTTGGCTTTCTTCACTTTGCCATATGTCCCTTTGCCGAGGGTCTCCAGGAACTCGTACCTGTGCTTCAGGTTGTGTTTGTGGTGGTGTCTCTTCACGGCTTGTCTCTTCACCGTCACCTGGGATGGAGCTTTCCCAGCAGGAGCATTTTCCCCGGGTGAAACTGGCCCCAAAAACGGGCTGCGGTTTGATGAAAGCCGGGCAGTATTCAGGCCCTCCATCCTGGCACAGTAGTGTTGTCTTTTTTGGTGTGTTTGCAGACGCAGGTATCGGTGTTAAAGTGCATTCCTCCGTGCGGAGCCCTGTCGTTGTTGGAGCAAGTTGCCTCTAAATGTGCTCATGTATATTTAAGATAAAAGTGTAGATATAGTCCTTCACCTCCCTCTGTGCAGCAGATTACTAAAACTAAATGTCGTAGACTGAAACCTAAAGTGTGTCTGTCTCCTCTGTGACGCTGAGACTTACTAACAGCAGGTACACAGCGTGCTGTAGGAGGAGCGGAGTTCAGCCAGCAGCCCGACACGTCAAATAGTCAAGGGGCGTTTCAGGCACCGAGAGGAGCGCTTGATCTCAACACCGCGCCGTGCCGGGACGTGTACCATCAGGTGGAGGTCAGTTTTTTCTGTTAGGCGGGATTTCTGATAGGCGATACAGACCCCTGTCTATTTTTGTAAGCTGAAACCATTTCCCTCAGCAGAAACAAAGCTTTTATTTGCTTTTATTTCACAGATAAGAAACAATACATTTTGAAGACAATAAAGCCTCCACTAAAATAGCATTTTAAGTCTTGTGTGTGATTTATCCTGGTTTCATATGAGCAGAAGAAATATCCACTTGTCGCTAGGCTAATTTATACAATGTAAAATGCCATAGGCTTATGCTAATAATGTTAGCATGTTGTATTTGTTTGAAAAACGTGTTTAGTGTTATACAGTTGTTTTGTCAGTGAACCCTGTGAGTTGTAATGGAGCCAAATTTTGTAACGTTACATTTGTGTAGAAATGTTGCAGTTGTCCCTGGTTTTATATGAGAAGTAGGAAAGACTGCTAGGCTAATTTATACAATTTAAAATGCCATAGGCTTATGCTAATAACATTAGCATGTTGTATTTGGGGGTCGCAGGGGGGCTAAGGATAAGCAGTTACGGAGTGAATGAATGATTGAATGTTGTATTTGTGGGGAAAATGTGTCCAGATTAACACAAATGTTTGTTTGTGAGTGCTGCGAGTTATAGTGAAGCCAATTTGTGTACTTTGTGTTTGAAATGGTCCCTATTAAGCCATGTTTAATGTGTGTTTTCAATCAACTAAACTTTACAGCACGTCACAGAAACCTCCGCCTCCGCCTAGTGTTTTGGAGGTGTAACTGCAGAGCGACACATGCTCACAACGGCGTAGACAACTTGCGTCGGGTCTGCCACACGAGTATAAATCTGGCTTTACACTTTGGAGCTCTTGTTTCTTCTTAATGTATCTTTATGTTTTTCTTTATCTGTTTTCAAGCCTCCGAGTTAAACCTGAATGTAGCTAAATGGTGCTTTACAGTGTTGTGTTATTAACTGTGGAATAGTAGAGGAAACATATTGCATCTTTAATAGCAGTAGTGGTATAAGGTGGAAAGCTGTAGTAATATGTTTAAAAGAAGCTAACATTAGTAGTTAGTAGTATGAGCTAAGCCAAAGAACACTGAAGTGCTGATTACAGTTTTTGTGACTGCTGTTACAATCGGTGTGCGCTGACATATACAACAAGCGCACCACTGAATAAAATAAAGTGTGGGGCAACTGTTAAACTAAGCCCTGCAATATGTTATAATGAACAATTGTTTACTGTACTTTATTACACTAATACACTGTACTTAGGTAGAGTTTTGATGTACTTATAATGTAATTTAGTATTTTTATTACATGTTACTCTCTTCTACTCCAGTATGATTCAGAGGGAAATAAGCAGCAACTAAGTCTCATGTCTTTGCATTAAAGCCACAAGTCCCCAGTCCTAAACTTTGAGTTTTGAGTCCTAAACAATTCACAATGTGCTCTTTACCTAATGCTATGCAATTTTGATAACGCAGTAATAATCACCTGGCTGTTCACCAACAATAAACTGGACTGGACAGACATCACTAATGCAATATATAAGAGAGGACAGAGCAGACTCTAGCTGCTGAGGAGACTCGGGTCATTTGGAGTACAGGAGCACTCCTGAGGACATTCTATGACTCTGTGGTGGCATCAGCCATCTTCCATGGAGTGGTTTGCTGGGGCAGCAGCATCTTGACAGCTGGCAAGAAGAGACCCAACAGACTTCTAGACCTTTTTTTGAACAGTTTACTTATTTTATGTATTATATATGTATTGCTGTGTACTTTTTTGTTTTACTGATGCTTCCTGTTTGCACTACCCCTTTGCTGCTGTGATGTTGCAAATTTCCCCACTGTGGGACGAATAAAAGATTATCTTATCTTATCTTATCTTATCTTATGTATTCAATTTTACGAAAACCATGAATGCTTTTTTAAAAATGTATACTTGTTAAAAGAAGTTTGTTTTCCAGTAATGTAATGTTAGTTCTATATGGTTCTCACCTTCTTCAACTGGACAGGATGCGGTTGATTTGGTTCAAACAAAGTGGATCTGGGGAATAAAGTGTTGACTTGCTGGGAATGAAGTGTTAATGTTAAAAAACATACTTTTTAATCTTTGGGCTTGGGAGAAGATATAGAAGAAGAAGAAGAAGAAGAAGAAGAAGAAGAAGAAGATGTACTCTATTAATTCCTGAGGGGAAATTAAATTTTTTTCACTTTCTTGTCATATACACACGCATACACAAACAGGACCTATACATGCATTAAATGGAGAGATGTCAGAGTGAGGGGGCTGCCCATGGACAGGCACCCTGAGCAGTTGGGAGTTTGGTACCTTGTTCAAGGGCACCTCAACAGTACCTGCTCACACTCCATATGTGATCCAGATGGGTACTTGAACCAGCAACCCTCTGGTCCCTATGGATTGAGCAACAAGTATTTGCATTTGTATTTCCAAAAGGCTCAAGTCAAGTTACAAGTCTTTTTTGATTTTGAAGACAAATCTAAAGTCATCAAATTTGTGACTCAAGTCTCACTTGAGTCCAAGTCATGCGACTCATGTCCACACCTCTGGCAATTACAATACAATATAATAGTTTAACATTCACCAGGGCTTTTTACGTGCATTGTGAATACTTTCACTTTTGATTGTCTCAGTACATTTAGCTTTGTACTTGTAAGAGACGTTTTTGATGCAACACTTTTACTTGAAACAGAGGACATTTACACTGCAGTAAGTAATGGATCCACCACTAATTATAACATAGAATATCATTAAACTGAATGACAGGTAAACTAAACTGCTGAGATCAATTAACTTGTTGGTTATTTTCGCACTATGAGTTTATTTATGGATAACTGGATGTTTGGTACACTCAAATGATGTGCAGTTACTGTGGCCTTTTCCTGAAGGATCCACTTGAAAGAAAAACTGATTAATGGGCCAGTGCTTCATTTTCTAACTTAAGATATCATCTGCTTGATGTTTAAGAGTGACTGGAGCTGCATGCATTTACGCTCACAGTCCTTCAGAGAGATCATCGGTACCATCATGTGAAACTACTTTTAATTATATTATACAACTACTATAGTATTCTAATTCAGGCCTAGTTTAAACAGACAACCAACACCCTGTTAACAAACAGAGCATTATCCACATGTTTTATAATCCACTGATGGAGTTGGTGATAGATTATTACATATGAGTTGCGGAGAGAATGCATATCAGATCCTAGCTGACTCCATGGAGCAGAAATATGTCTGGTTTTTCAACCATTTGGTCAGCTTGACCTAAATAGACAGTCTGCGCTGGGCTGAGAGAAATAAATTATAGACAAGAGTAGGAGATTGTATCAGTAGTGTCATTACAGACATAGGCCACTAGAGATCACCATGCAGCCAGCAGTTAGAAGAATGTGGGTCGACTGGTTTGAGCCAGTTGGTTTGACTTAAATAAAGCCTGAAACAGACCTATGTAGGATGTAATATTAGTTCAGACACAGCTGATGAGTGTTCGTCAGTTGGGACAGGATGAGCAGATTTAAAGTTTGAGCCAAATGAATGCAGAAATTAAATACACAATTCATCTTGGAAGGATATGACTTAGAAAACAACAGCACCTAGACTGTGAAAAAATGTATTGTAAGAAAAATAACATAAATGAATATATTGATTGCACAAGAGAGACATTTCTGCATATTAATATAATAAATCAACAATGTTTGTCACTATATTATGTCAAATATTTCACATAAAATCATGTACATTTTTGATAGACTTAAAGAAAAGTGGGCATTCGCAAACAAATTTAAGTGGTGGTTTAGTTTGTCTGCCAGAGGAGGGGGTCTCATTAGTAGCATGGAGTCATAGCACTGTGCCCAAAATCTTGTTTTCAATCTTTTTGTGGCCAAGACACACCAAACTTCAAGCCAAAATCTCAAGGCACACCTGTATTTATATCTGTGTACAATAGACTCTATAAGGTGTGTTATCACTCTTATCATGACATAAATGTCTGTTTTTATTTGCTAATATCAAATAACAATTGACAACCAACTATTACTCATTAAATATTTATTAACAAAATAATTAAAAAAAAAAATTAAAAAATTTTAAAATTACATCAAAGCACCAATGTGACATCTATTTAAATGAGAAATGTAAGATAATGTCAGATAATGTGATGTGTAACACACTTATAATTCCCTCGCATCAAGGGCAACAAGAAGGTTCCCTTTGAAGTTTTTTTCAATTGAATTAAATTAAATTAAATTAAATTAAATTAAATTAAATTAAATTAAATTAAATTAAATTACTTTTTTTGGGTAGAATTTGCCTGTTTATTAGGAAACGGGTGCACACAACAAACTAATACAGTCAATTAAAAATTCATTCATAACTTTTTGTATAGGCCCAGTTGAATATTGCAATAATAATGTGCGGTTATCACAAAATCCCACAGCACACCTGGATTGGCATCACACCACACTATTTGAGAACCACTGCAGCAGATTAAACATGTGTGAATATGTGTATTTTATATAAAACCAAGAGGTGTAGAAATGTGTATGAGATATGAGTGGTATAGGGAAAGTGAAGTGGATGAGTGATACACCACATAGCCTGTGGGGCAAAC